TGTTTCTTAGAATCATAATTCTACTCGTATATCTATTTATTGTCTGCTGCTGAATATTGTGTCATCCCCGTGGATAAGTTTCCCTAGACCACAGTGATGCGGATGCTCTCTTGGATTTGGATTTGGGGAGGTGGCCGGGGATTGAAATTGTAGTTTATGTGTGAGGTAAGGAGGGATTCTACTGATTTTGTTGATTTTATTGACTTCAAATGAGCGATGTCTAGAAATAGGGTTGAAAGGAAATATTATATTTTCATAAATTTTCCTCTGAAGTAGAGCCGACTAGCTATGCTATTCTTGGCTCATCTCGTCGCCGTTACTTTGAATATCGACTTGATGTATAAATATGCTGTGGTAGATGGATGGTTAATTGAAGGTATGGATGGGATTTGAAATCCAGGGATAGATAAGGTCTTGAGATGTTAATGGTTCCATGAGATAACTGAGCATTTTTTTATGTTCTAAGTTCTCTTTGCTAAAATTTCGGGTGCGCTTTTTGCTATACTATACGTACTGAGGGAGTTATGGTGCATGTGTTGTGCTGGAACTTGGAAGATGTGGTGATTTGTTTAGCTAGTTTGTCCATTCAGTTCGTAGGTTAAGGGATTTTGAAAGGAGAATCGAGGTGGTGTGTGATTGCTGGGATGGGTTTATCATGATCTGCTGGGCTGAGATGCCTACTTGAAGAATCAGATTGGCTTTCTCTTTCTGTCTAAAGCCGGAAGTAAAGTGTCTGACTATATAGCTGCAGATTTTGAGCCTTAATTTCTTTTCTAGATGTTTTTAACACGGCAAAAAGGGGTTCGTGTGGTAGCACATTCTAAGTAGGCGAGGCCCTTGGAGAATACGGACAATGTTGCGTTCCATGTGCCTACCTTCAATTACTCGAGTAGCAGAAACGACCCTTTCCATAGAAGTGTCTTGACCACTAGTAAATGTGATATTGAAATGGAAACCCATGAACAATGAAACCTTTGCAAATGTTATCCCGAGTAATACATGGCGAGCCAATAACTTCATACCATACGACGACAGTCTCATGCGTGTCCCGCACGATTCAGGAACAAACGGCCTTGATGGGTGAAGAGCGCCCGCTTTTTCAGGGCAAAATGCAAAAATCATTCACGAGCTACATTTTGCAAATCAGGTCGGTACAATTAACAGGCCGTTACTCGGAATGAACGGCGAGAACCACACTCCGTAGAACCAAATGATAGATTCTAAACTTCATATAAGAGACCAGTCTCGGAACTTTTCTCAAAAGTCGATAATCCGAGACTGACTTGGCGGTATAAGATGTCTCTGAGTGCGGAATGAAAAAAAAGAACATCTACCGACGTCGAATTAAGTTTCTAAAGTGGGGTTTGACTTGTCAGTTGCCTTTGTGCTAGGAACAGAGCCAGCCGGTACGGTGCGGTACGGTACGGTACGTACTATCCGCAGGAACAAATATAGTAATAACCCCAGGAATGGGGTGTGACTCGTTTACCCCGCACTGATAAGCTCACTGCTAAGAGCTCAGGCTAAGTAGCTTTTGGAGGGGGATCGGCATTGGTTTAGGGCTCGGTATCGTCAAATTCCGCGTATGCCGGGGCCCCTAGGGGTCTCATAGGCCAATTGACGTTGGATTTTATCATCTTTCAATAAATACTCGAGTTTGCTATGGCAGACATGTTGGTATCTGGGAATTCCGAGCCCTAAAACTAACTGCCGATTCCTTGTCGAGAGTGGTTTCTTTTGAGTTCTTATGAGTTTATACACATTGTGAAATCAATGTTTGATAGGTTCCATTGGTCCCAGCATCATGTTAGCATTATTCCGAGAAATTCTCTATATTCTACCGGTAGTTCCGGTTGAATCGTGGAAGATGTATCCATTATTTCCAAATTTGCACACTCTCGCAGGTGAGACCTTACGAGTATTAGCGATCTTTTCCACATTGGTCCTACCAATCCAATTCTTCAGATGGTTCGAACAACTGAGCTGTAAGTATTCATGCATGCGGGGTGGATATCTTCTGTATTAAGCTAGACAGAATACAACATTCTTATTTCCACGTTTCTTGAATCAGAAGTCTTTAAATATCGACTGCCTCGCACATGCTAAGTTTGTCTTGCTCAAGATCCTTGTGCAACAGCCAGCCACTTCAACATATTGTTTCAGACTGTCTATTCATATATCAAGGCCGAGGTCAATTACGTTCTTAACTTCTCCAATAGTCTTCCTTTTTAGAGTAATCGTGCAACCAAAATAACAATGGGCTCGATTCAACAGGAAGAATTAGATGTGCTACTTGTGGGAGCTGGATTTGGCTCCTTTACTATGTTAAATAAGTAGATGTAGCCCACCACATTTAGGGGCCACTACTAACAAATCAACTAGGCTCCGCAAGCAAGGACTCAAGTGTAAAATTTACGAGAAAGGTTCCAAGAGCGGAGGTGTCTGGTATTGGAATAACTACGTAGGCTTTTTAATATATTTTAAAGCTATGAAACTTACATATATACCATAGCCCGGCGCTCGAGTCGACTCCCCTTCTCCTATCTATCAACTATACGACAAGGAATTATACGAAGATTTCACATTCACGGAGAAATATCCAGGGGGAAAAGAAATTCGTCGATACTTCGAGCACGTTGAAAAGAAATGGGATGTTAGAAAAGACATTGAATTCGACAAGCAAGTTGACGGAGCTACGTTCGACAAGCAGCGCAATCAATGGCTTGTCGAATGTGCTGATGGCTCCGAGGTTTATTGTCGATGGTTCATTCTTTGCATAGGGTTTGCATCTCGTCGATTCACGCCCCCTTTCGCGGGACTCAGTAACTTCAAAGGCGACACGTATCATACAGCAGTTTGGCCACAACATGGTGTTAATCTAAAGAATAAAAGAGTTGGTATAGTTGGTACTGGAGCAACTGGTATTCAGGTGATTCAAACCATCGGACCTGTGGTTAACCACCTCACCGTCTACCAACGAACGCCTAATCTTGCACTACCAATGAATCAAAGGCTTCTAGATCCAGAAGAAGAAGCTAAAAAGAAAGCTGAAGGCAAATACGAAGAAGAATTCGCAAAAACGAGGAAGACATTTGGCGCTTTCCCATATGCTTTTGAAGAAAAGAATACTTTCGATGATACACCGGAAGAACGGGAGGCCCATTATGATAACCTCATGAACAAACATGGTGGTTTTCATTACTGGCTCGGCAATTACAAAGATTTATTCTACAATCAAAAAGCTAATGACGAAGCCTACAAGTTTTGGCGCAAAACTGTGTGCAAACGAATCCCAGATATCAAAAAACGAGAGCTTCTAGCACCAGAAATTCCACCCCATCCGTGGGGAGCCAAACGGGCGTGTCTCGAACAAAATGTATATGAAGTTTTCTCCCTCCCACACGTTGACATCATTGATGTGAATGAATCGCCCATTCTTGAAGTCACCGAGAAGGGAATCAGAACAAAGGGGGGAGAAGTAGAATTCGACGTCCTGATCCTTGCTACTGGGTTTGATTCCTTGAATGGATCATTGGCCCAGCTAAACATTCGCGGCATAGATGGCACCACCATTGCTCAAAAGTGGAAAGATGGAACACGCACAGCAATGGGCATTGCGATGAATAATTTCCCCAACATGTTTTACCTCTGCGGAGTCCATGCACCCACTGCATTCGCGAACGGACCATGCTGTACTCAATTCCAAGCAGAATATATTTCGGAAACCTTGAGAGGCTTGACCGAAAAGAGTAAAACCTACTTTGAGGCAAAGGAGGAGGCAGAGGAGGATTGGTGCAAGAGGCTGGGTGAATGTTGGCATAATTCTCTATTTCCTCAAGCGAAGAGCTGGTACCAGGGAGCGAATATTCCAGGAAAAAAAGTTGAGCCGCTCAGCTGGTAAGTTCCTTTCACATAGCTGCATGTTAGTCCGTCTAAATACTGATACTGATATTACCCTAGGCTTGGCGGTATGCCGGAATACATGGCGACTTTGGCGAGAAGTAATGAGAATGACTATCAGGGATGGGTTGTGAAATAGAATGGCCACTTGCTGCTAAACACAAGCGGGAGATGTATGTTTATCGAAGATGTATCATCAGCTTGCTGTCATGGGGTACGTATACGGTAGTGGTTTAGGCGTTAAGCTCTAGTTCTAGGTTCTCTATTGAATAATATCTTCTTTGCGCCAAGACCCCATAAAAATTACCGAGTCACGTGAAATCACTGTAACACCATGCCGCTACACCTACCTTAATCTTGTGCGAACCCCAGGCACCATGCAACTGCTAAACGACGAATAGATTCGTCACATTGCTGAATTGAGGCTGAGCTGCATCATTTATAACGAATTAAAAGCTCAAGATAAATTAAACCTTGACTTTCGATCCTCAATTGGGATTAACCGAGAATCATGAGTGCTTTATTCCGTATATTGGTTGCGATTGCCAAGAAATGGTCGCCCGCAGGCTCCAGCACAGCATTTCAAGTCGTACCCCGTACTCTAGAAATACATATATAAAGAGGGCCCCTTCACGCCCTGGCAACCTTTTTCCCTTTCCTTACCACACCATTCGGGTCGACCATCAACATCCCAAGAATCTCATTAATGTCATTTAGTACAATTTTGAGATTTCTTCCATGACCCTGTCAATCTTTCCTTTTGTGTGTCAATTCTTATCACCTTTCTCTCCCTCCCCAAGATCCAAACACTCATTTCGTCAATCGCTCAATTGCCCCTCTGAAATCCCTACATTGATCACTTCTCAATACACACAAAGCAGACATGTTCAAGCGTTCCCATAGATCAAATGATCGCGTGGAAAAGAACATCAAATTGAAGAAGTCGCATAGGGATCCGGCGAAGTTGTCGAGATTGCAAAAGTCGTTCGATCAAGGCCCTCCCGTTGCGAGGTGAGGATGAGTAATATGTGATTGAGTTGGAAGTAGATCGATACTGATGGATCCTTCCCATAGTAGCCTGACTTCTCCAATTGTAACATTGACAGTTGGTAGGGAGGGACGACTCTTTGCAGCGCACGAGGATGTACTCTCCTTATCACCGTATTTTGCGACGGCAATGAGAGGTCAATTTTTAGAGGCGCAGAGTAAGAGGATCTCTTTACCAGACGAAGAACCCGAAATCTTTTCCTGTGTTCTCGAATATCTTTACGTAAGTTCACCAGCGATTGTAATACACAACGACTATCTCAGTAGTACTGATATATTTACAGAAGGGTGACTACTATCCCCGTTTGATACACAACAAACGCCGAAACTCTTGGGAACTCGAGGATGCAAATCATTCCCCCAACCCCGAAAATCCTGGTGGTCGCGGATCGGTAGAGGCTACAAGCTATATATCCAGCGTGGGAGAACAACTTTTAAAGGATACAGTCATATACTGCGCTGCCGAAAAGTATGGCCTCGAGGAACTCAAACGCGTTGCTCTTCAGAAGCAAGGTTTACAGAGTGGAATCGAGGTTTCTATAATTCTTCGCAGTGCTCGGTATGCTTATGACAACACGCCAGACACGGACTCTAGGCTACGTGCTCATTATCTTGCATTAATCATCAGATGTCGCAAGACATTTAAGAGGAGCGGAACCATGCAGACAGAAATGGAGAGTGGCGGCAAACTTTTCTTTGACCTTTTCGTGGCATTATGCAATCATGTGGATGATATTGTGGAAATTGGGTCAGCCCCTTTCTCCTTTTCCGTGAATCACTGACCTACTTCCCCAGGTTTACTGACTTTCAAGCTAGAACCTCCAAGTGCCCACGAACCATCTAAAAAATTGCATAACTCATGTTAGGTATTTCAGCACGGCGTCAATTGTTTTTGAGGATCATCGTGCATATCCATCAAATTTGAGAACCATTTAGGAGATTTTTGCAATGCTTGCACCAAATCACTCCACTTCAACTTATGAGGTTGGCCAACTTTTTTGATGATACACGAGATTATTTTTTAACCTCTGTTTTCAATCAAACCCCTCGCTATCTCGCTTACCTGGTGTTATTTTTAGCAGAAGGGAATTTGCGTTTTTGCTTTCTTGCTTTCTGTACTGTTTCTCTATCAACCCTCACAAATTGCTTAACTTACTCCGTGGGTATGTTATTTGTTGCGTTTGGAATTGAAAGGAAATGGTATGGGTGGATTTTACTGGTCGGGGCGACCTCTTCGCACCACTCTTTTTCTTATTTCTGTTGGGATGCATGGAGATGCTATAGCTTTAGTTGTGTATTCATGATCTTGATGATTGTGGATGGGTGATCCCTAGTGGATGCGCCAGCCTAAGCCCTCATCAGGGCAAGATAATGAGAGATTTGGCCACCTCAATTTAAAGTTCCAATGTGTGTGAAGGAAGCTGCCCCATTTTGCTTTATCTTCCTCGTCTTATGTCGATCACGCCAATAATAAGAAGCTCACCGTCAGTGTTATTAGTAATCAACCGAATGTTTCTGCTTGTACCCCAATCCAATCCTTGCGTATTGGGCCATCAAGCGGATATCAGCACGTCATCGCCAAAACATCATATGTGTAGCAGTTTGTATTGTGTCTTTCTGATCTCTTTTAATAATAAACGTTAAATATATTTACTGCTAATGCTAAAGCTGGCACATACGACCATAGACTGAAGAGAATTGGGCATCCCGTCCGCTCTGCCATACACAAGCTTCAGATCGGTGGATTAGTAGTTGGGTGGGTGACCACCAGCGAACCCCCACTGTTGTATGTGCCTCTTTTTTGCACTTTATTTTTGCTCAGCCCTCAGAGTGTCATCGGCATCATGTCGAAAATGCGAATCATCCTCCAAAGCGTCGCCCCAAGCGAGATACCCCTTTCCATTCTTAACCGCGAAGCAGCATCATCACAAAACATCCAATTTCGCTCCCTTCCTTGTTTACCAATAGCTCCTTTTGAACCGCAAAGGATCTTATGCCCTGGTATAAAACTCGCAAAATAATGTTTGTCTTCTTTACGACCAGTCCTATCAATGTGCCTCTTGGCTGCTCACCCCCTATTTATTAGTCACATATTCTCGTTCTACTCCGACGATTGACGGGATACTACTTACTACTGGATGCTAGTCTACAGATTTAGCTCAATTAATGGGAGTCTAGGGACCTCGCTGCTGTGCATTGTTCGTTGTAAGTTTTGATCTAGCGACTCTACTTCAAGCATAGCAGGATGTCCAGGTAAAATACTTACATATATAGTTCAGGTTAGCGATAAGGCGTATTGGTGGTTTGGTGTAATAAGATTACATGCAGTGTATATTGTGAGGGCTCTGGTCGGTCTTTGGCTGTTACTGGGATTGCAGCTATCAAATTGGACCGTTAGGCTACGAGCTATGGGGTTTCGGTGAGAGTTGCAGGCTCGAATGGTATCTTACATTAGTAGTCTGGGCATTTGGGAGAACCTATTGAATAAGAGATAGGAAGATGAAGAACCGCGCGATAGTGGCCGTGTACGATGAATAGTTTGCGCCCACTAGCTTTGAACTGAAAACTGGAGGAGTGCAATTGAAGTGAACTACGAGAAACAAACTGTCTCATTAATATAGCTTTAAACTTAGTGCTCTTTTTTTTTCTTTTAAAAATAATAGCCTGCCTGATGTTTGCCCTTTGGAATTGATGTCCAACAATGAATGATGAGTAGTTTTCTTATCCAGCATCAAGATGGCTTGACATGTCTTCATGGTTTTATACTTCAATTATCAATACAACCAATCAAATCCAACCCATTATAACAAAAGATCACCTATTTCCTTAAATATATTTACTGAAATAGGTCAACAGGACTCTTACTCCGATTGTGGAAGGAAAATCGTCATTACAATCTCACTATCTTATCTGTTCCTGACTTATCCGCTTAGATCCATGCGGGACTTCTCCACTTCTCTTATTAATTTTAGCGTTTTTAGTGTCATTTCTTGCTAAAGCCGTCACAAACCGAGTTGATAGCTAACCTTAGAGCTTCAAACATATAACATAACCTTAATCGTCCGTTATTCGGCATCAAGCAATTCCTCATAAAATAAACACAACGACGATAAGTTTTCTTTTCGAGGTAGGCAATACCCTCTCATTATTATTCTTCTTTCTTTGTTTCTTTGGTTCGGAGTCTTCAGTCATCAATCAATCATGCTCGCACGAAATATCAAAAGCTCTAGAAGCTTTCAGACAATCAATCGTTGTTCATTGATCGCTTCTTACAAATGTGAAGCTTCATTGCGAGTACCCCGCACCAGCGCAGTGGGTAGTACCATCACCACAAATATAGGAAACATATGCAACATGGCGACTATCGCAAGCTTTAAGATCCCAAAGGTGGTTAATGAGCCAAATGTGAGTATCAACGAAAGACGAGAAGCTGTAGCTTTGTCCTCGAGGGAACAGGAATGCTGATCCACAAGATAGCATCATTATGCTAAGGGATCCGCACAACGCGATGGACTTTATAAGGCATTAGAGAGATTGGAAAGCAAGGTCCCTTTAGAAGTCCCTATCGTAGTCGGAGGTAAAGAGGTTAGTATTTTTCATCTGTTACAGCTTTATAATCAACGCTGATAATATCTCTAGATCAAAACTTCCTCTGTTTCGCATCAATTCAACCCTGCAAACCACTCCTCGAAAGTCGCATCTTATTCAAACGCCTCCCCATCCGATGTCTCCTCCGCTATCGATGCTGCTCTCGCCGCAAAGCCCGAATGGGAATCTCTTCCTTTCGCAGATCGAGCTGCTATCTTTCTCAAGGCCGCAGATCTCATCTCCGGCAAATACAGATATGAAATTATGGCTGCTACAATGTTGGGACAGGGAAAGAATGCTTGGCAAGCTGAGATCGATTCTGCTGCAGAGTTAGCAGACTTCCTCAGATTCAATGTTCAATATGCTGAGGAGTTGTATGCGCAACAACCCGTGCACCATTCACCTGGTGTCTGGAATAGACTGGAGTACAGGCCTCTGGAAGGTTTTGTCTACGCTGTTACCCCATTTAATTTCACAGCAATTGCAGGTAACTTGCCTGGTGCACCAGCTCTGATGGGAAATGTTGTGGTTTGGAAACCGTCTGATTCTGCCATTGCTTCAAATTGGCTGTTGTACAACATTTTGCTCGAGGCGGGTCTTCCCAAAAATGTTATTCAATTTGTACCAGGAAACCCTGTCGAAGTTACAAAAGTTGTTCTTGAGCATAAGCAATTGGCTGCTCTTCATTACACCGGAAGTACTGCTGTATTCAGAAAGCTTTATGGATCAATTGCAAGCGGAGTTGCGGAGGGTAGGTATCAAGGATATCCAAGAATTGTAGGAGAGACTGGAGGAAAGAACTTCCATCTTATTCATTCTTCAGCCGATGTGGAAAATGCTGCTCTCAACACTGTTCGTGGTGCTTTTGAATATCAAGGTCAAAAGTGCAGTGCTACATCGAGAGCATATGTTCCGAAATCTATCTGGCCTCAATTCAAGGAGAAGTTGGTTGAAGAAACATCCAAACTTTCAATTGGATCTCCAAAGGACCCAAAGAACTTCATCGGCCCTGTCATTCACGAACCATCATTCAAGAAACTCTCAGGCATCATTGACAATGCTAAATCAGACTCTGAGCTCGAACTTCTTGTAGGAGGCAAATACGATAACTCGACTGGTTATTATATTCACCCCACTATCTACCAAACCACCAACCCCAGACATGCTCTCCTTTCTACTGAGCTGTTCGGTCCAATTCTTACCGTCTACGTCTACGATGACTCTACCGCTCCAGCCGAAGCTTTCGAGTCAGTTTGTAAGCTCGTGGATACTACATCTGAGTATGGACTCACTGGTGCAGTTTTTGCCACCGATAGAGCAGCGATCAGATATGCGGAAGAAGCATTGAGAAATTCGGCGGGTAATTTCTATGTCAACTGCAAGAGTACCGGAGCAGTGGTTGGACAGCAGCCTTTCGGTGGTGCCAGAGCCAGTGGAACAAACGACAAGGCGGGTAGTATGAATCTCTTGGGTAGATTCGTTAGCGTGAGGGCATTGAAGGAAGAGTTTGTTTCAATTGGAAGTGTTGAATACCCAAGTAATGAGGTTTAAATGGGATGATAAAGTTGATGATTATTGCGGTGGCGGTGTCACGCCAGTGGGGAAATGAATGAATTGATATGAGAAACGACAAAATTTGATGAGATGTTGAGATGAGCATCTCAAGAGAATCGGTCAATGGTTTTTGGCAAGGGATTGTCCTTAGGCTTGTTATGTGCTATGCATACGTGCATCTTTCTTTATGCTTTGTATTTATGACCGCTTTTAGCATTGTATATGAAAATACCAGATGCTATCACTCATGTAGTTGATCAGCCAAAATATTGTTGTTCTTATCTCAAAAGACTATGCTGTATATTCCATGAATGGCAATTGTGGATGGACCAACATTTAGTTCTACCAACAGTTGGCTTGTATCCAGCATTTATTTGGGAGAAAGTGTGATGCTCAAATACGGCACAGCATAATATATTCTGTTACTTCCAAATGATAATTTACCATAATCGCAGATAAGTGACATAGTGTGAGAGCTACATGAGCTTCTTGAAATGAACGCTAAAATCAGACATGGAACCATTCAGACAAATGACGATGAACCTCCACATTGGGGGTGGCCTTCCCGTGCTGAGGTAGGTTTAACTACGATCACGATACTTACCGTTCTCTACATTATCTACCACTGTCGTCGCTCACAAAATATCCCATCTTCACGCCAATCCCCACCTTCCTATCCACACAAAGATCCAATCCTAGGACTCGATCTCTTTTTCGCTATTCTCAAACATAGAGAAATCTATCAAAACATCCAATTTTCCCAGCAAAGACATGCAATATATGGAAATACCTATCAAGCGATATATTTGGGCCGAAGGGTATTCCGCACGATTCAGCCAGAGAATATTAAAGATATTTATGGGTCGAAGTGGCAGGATTGCGGCATGGATAGATTAAAAGCAATGCAGTCTTTTTGCGGTCATGGGTTCTTGACGGTAGATGGTGAAGGGGAATGGAAAAGACTTAAAGGGATGATGATGCCTTTATTCTCTGAACCTGGGGATGCGGAGATGGGATTATTTGAGAATGTTTTAGGAGTCGTTGAGTAGATTGCCTGCTGCAGGAGAGACTGTAGATATGAGTTTGGTGTTGGATAAACCTGTGAGTGTGTTTACTTTATTTGATATTAATCAATTGTTGAGTAGTACTGATTCGATGTATTCAATTCATAGTTTTTGGATATGTCCTATCAGTGGGTTTTTGGTGATTGCCTGAATGTAGCATCAGAGAAAGGACCCCTTGGCCCGGATGATGATATCGAAACATTTCACGCTGCGTTCCATTCCTCTCGGGCGTGGACAGGCCCACGCATGATTTTCGAAGCCATAGCTCGTCTTATTCCAAATAAGAAGTGGGAAACGACTAACCGGATCGTGCATGATTTTGTAGAACGTCGCATTGATGCTGCAATGAAGGAGGTCTCAGAGAGCCAGAGCCAAACACGAGAAGGAAACGAGTATTCCATCAAGCCGACAAGTCTGGTTGAATCGCTAGTAAAGCAAACAAGCAACTGGTATTAAATTCGTTCTCTAGTCTTACAAGGCTTGTTGGTTATTCAAGACACGACGCCAATAACCCTAAGCAATGCAATTTTTCATTTATCCAGGAATCCATCTGTGTGGAAGCATCTCAGAAGTGAAATTCTAAATTCAAAATATTCATTGACTATAAGTCATCTGAGACGGAACGTACTTCTCTAGAATATTATCAAAGAAAGTATGAGAACCAAACGGTACCCACCGTTATAACATTATATTATACTGACTAGCAACACACAGCCTTACGCATCCATCCCGTCTTTGCCAACATGGCACGAACAGCATTACGAGACACTATTCTCCCCGTGGGCGGCGGAACCACCGGTACAAATCCCATCTTCGCATCCGCCGCATCTGACGTCGTGACCGATCTCTACATTCTGCACAGGAATAAAGCAGTGTATGGCGAAAATGTTGAGGAATTCGATCCAGATCGATGGAATCGTATTACTCCACGACGGTGGGAATTTATGGGATTCAGCGGTGGTGCACGGGGTTTTGGAGGACAGCAGAAGGCTCTTATGAAAGCTTCGTATGTTTTGGCGGTGTTGGCCAGGAGGTTTGAAAGGATTGAGAGTGGAGATGAAAGGGGTTGGGCCGGAAATGTGAAGTTGATTGCTAGGAATGTGAATGGGTGTAAGGTTGCTTTTTATTGATGGGTGAAGGAAGCGGGTTTGGATATAACTTTAGGCATTATGTCTTCCTTGAATAGTGATCTTGAGACAATCAATTGGTCGGAAAGCTCGATGTTCATTTGAGGCTTAGCTTTATGTACTTTATGGATAATGATTGGCGAGAAGGGAATGTTAATTTGTCGATAAACGGAAAGGAACACATATGATTCAATATGTGATCAAACAATTAGCTCAATTCAAAATAAGAGTCGGTGTGTGGTTTGTTGGATTATTTTCATTTTGAGGTATTCCAAAGTGCCGTGTAAGCTCAGTGGACCGCTCCGCCAGAGTGGTAACCAACGAGGAACCGCGGTAACAAAGCCACGCCGCTTCTTCGCAGTTAAGAGTAAAAGTAAGCTTAGATGACCAGATTCATCTCTCTATTAAAGGGTCTTCTTGTCTCTTTAGTTACATTGCCCTCGCATACCCAGACTACTTATTACACTTGTCCCTCCCCTTCACTCTCACCAGTATTCAAACGTGTCCAACTAAGATCATGTCTGAAGCAATCAACGCCTTGGGGCTTGCCTTCCCCGACACACAAGTTTTTGTGCGAAACACAATAGAGTTTGATGAATTAAATGGTTCATACCTCTCAGCATTGGAAAGCGACATCACACCAGCCTGCATCTTCCTGCCCAAGACCAAAGAAGAGGTCAAGTCCTTCATCCAAACGGTCAAACCATTTGTGGCGAGCGGTAATATTGCATTTGCTATTCGTGGTGCTGGACAGGTACCACTTCCAGGCAGTGCCAACATTGAGAATGGTATTACCCTTGACCTCAGAAATCTGACTGGAGTGGAGTGTAAAGATGGTATTGTCTCAATCGCGGCAGGTGAGCGATGGAGTACAGTCTACCAAAGATTGGCAGCTGAGGGACTCGGTGTAACCGGAAGCCGATCCGGGAATGGTGGTATCGGAGGCTTAGCCTTGGAAGGTACGCATGTATCTATGTGATTATGGTGAACTTCCACTAATACTTTTCCACAGGTGGTCTTTCCTTTTTTTCGTCTCGCGAAGGCTTTGTGAGCGACAACGTCGTCAACTATGAGGTCGTTCTAGCATCTGGTGAAATTGTCAATGCCAACGCTTCTGAAAACTCCGATCTTTGGACCGCTTTGCGAGGCGGCTCGAACAACTTCGGTATCGTTACCAGATTTGATATGAAGACATTTCAACAAGGATCTTTCTGGGGTGGCAGTGTGTACTATTTCCCGGCGAGTTTCCCTAGTCAAATTGAGGCTTTAGTCAACGAAATCAAGAAACCGAATGCATCGGTGGAAACACAGCTCATGGTTAGCATCGGTTACGCTGCTGCTTTCGGTATGATCGCATGTCAAAACCAAGTATACTACACGAGAGAAGCCACCGAAACTCCTCCTGTTCTTCAACCATTCACCGCAATAGAGCCGCAGATTGATGCGCTCAATAGTTTGCGAGTGTTGAATTTGACATCTGCTGCTACAGAGCAAGCTGCTGATGGCCAAACTAGCCAAAGGTAAACCCCGTCCATACTTTTTCTCTTCAACTTACTAATGAACCCACTCACGGATATTGACGCTGGTTGTTCTTAAGCTGACTTGTATCAGGGTGTCGTATATGAACACGGTGATTAAAGCGGACATTGCCACCCTGCAAGAGGCATCCACGATCTACACAACTGCTCTCTCAAACATCACGTCCATCGCAGGGCTTATCGGCTCTCTGACTCTTCAACCATACCCTGTGTCCTTGCTCCAAAAGTCTGTGGAAAATGGCGGAAACTCGTTGGGATTGTCACCTTCCGATGGACCACTAGTCTCGATTTTACTTCTCACGACCTGGCAGAATAAGAGTGATGATGAAATAATTTTCAAAACAATGAGAGGCGCACTTGAAAATATCAAAGCAGCAGCAGTTGCGAAAAATACATCGGTTGATTATGTGTTCATGAACTATGCCGCTGATTTTCAAGACCCTATTTCATCATACGGTGATGAAAATAAGAGAAAATTGCAGAATGTGAGCAAGAAGTATGATCCAGAAGGATTGTTCCAGAAGGGTGTACCAGGAGGATTTAAGCTCTTCGTTTGATGTCACATAAGAATTATGTCTAGAACATAGCTAGCGTGGCTATTCTAATAATATCAAAGAAATTAAGATCTTACCATTGTTCAAGAAGACGATGTGAATTTGATGTTTGTAGCGATGGCATGAATTTGAGGATTGTGAGTATAGAAACAGGCAATGCGTGCTCTACCACTTGGAATCGTTTTTAAGCCACATCAAGCAAGTGAATTCCAATTGTGTCATATATTCAATAAATTTTTTGTCGTGATAATGAAGACCAAAACCATTTTACTTCTGAGAGGTATTGGTGAGGTTTTGTGAGGAGAGTGTAAATCTATGTGTGTAGGTTACACGTCCTAAAGTTTGACTAGCGGAATGATTTGACTAGCTGACAAATCAAAGCGGTAAAACACGTTCCTAGCCTCATCTATGGTGATGAGGGCAGAGCGACATAACACATATAGGCGATGCAGCAGTAAGGTTATAATGTCATTTTGAGGTTATTTTCACTTCTTTTACTATTAACCTACAACAATAATAGGACAATCCCCTTTCACACAACTGAATATCAGACGATGGGTGATCTATTCGAGAATATAACAAACTAGATTTCGAACCAGTGATTCCACAATCTGTTTTGTACGCATCAAGGAGCCGCTTGTAACAAGAATATCTTCATGCTTCCTTTCTGCAGCGACTTATACAAGAGTCTGCTCTTGCGTGCGCATCACTAAGCATTATATCTCGTCAAATCCTATCATCATACTGTCCTTCTTTAATGTGTTTTGATGAGTCATGTTCTCCATGAGACAATCCGAGCTTGTAGTCAAGACTCTGTAATTGAAGCCCTTTTTCTGAGGCTCTGTCAGATCGACATAAACCTTCACATTTAGGAAACCTGTTGCCTAGGGCCATTGCCATTGTTATTTCGTTGGTAGAAATAACCCACAAGATTAAACAGCTGCCCTAATTTTTGAACGCTGATAGGACTTGTTAAGTAATGGCGACCTGCGAGACCCTTTTCGTGGTGGATCTAAGGTGTCTCCTTCGTTACAAAGTCGACCAGACGTTCTCAGAGAAGCACATAAGCTATGTGTACCTACTTTGTATCCATCGAGAACATTGCATCATCGGATTAATCAGCAACTTCTAGCCGCCCGGTCCTGCATAAATATGTCTATCATAAAGCCACATTTGCAGGTCCATTAACTCATATCTGCCATTTCTTTTCACTGCGTTTTTGGTTACAGTGATACCACTAGCTTGTGGGACATCTAACCCATCGAAAACTTCTGTAAAGATCAAAATTTCGATATTGTAAAATTGTTCAACTTTGCATATGGTCTGGTCAAATGTGCAATCAATTCTCAAGTGGATTCAGTCTACTTCTTGGGTCACATTTCTGGTCTTTCAAAGTCTGGTATAGAAAAGTTCCAATCTAGGAATATGATGATGCCATTTGATACTAATTCCACACTTAGTGTTTTGGTGTCTGAACTACCCCTCAAATGGCTCCATCATCTAAGCATAGTTTGAATCATAAAATGTGTCATGTGATCATATATGACCTCGAGGTCTTTCTAAAAGATGGAAATCGTAAAAATTATATTCGATGAAAAATCAACCAACAAACATTTCGACAATACAATCATATCATCGTGTTTCCATTTTCTGGAAATATTCAAAGATTGAATGTAAGCTGCATAATTCTAGATTACCGCGCTAATAAGGGTCAGTGTCTTCAAATGAGTTGTAAGTTCTAAATCTTTTAACTTTGGCGCCAGCATGAGCTAGTCGTCAACTATTCTGAATAAGTACCAGCAGAGCCTCCATTAAAAAAAATCTTTGATCCGACAACTAGTTAAACTTAGCATATATTTTATTTCGCACAAATAATTCCCTTTCCCCGAAAAATATTTCATAACTTTCATTTCATTGTATAACACCCAAAGAAAGATCTCACTACATCTGCAAAAATGCCAAAAAGAACTTATTCCTTGTCTAAGCTGCGCAAAAGATATCTGCCGAATCGAGCACTGTAGTAACTCCAGACATCAAGTATCACAAACACCCGAAAGAACAAGAGCCGACGATATAAATTGCTCAGTATGCTCCCATGGAACAATTCCTCTTGCCATCGATAAGTCTTCAAGATATTGTCGAAGATGTTCCACAATTTGGACTCCTGTTATCACAGACGATGAATAGGAGGATGGGGATGGACTTAGTGTTGAACAACGGCGACAAGAACGACGTCATCGACAACAAGAACAAGGATGAGTACAATCACCATTATGCCCTTCTATTCCATCACCCGAGTTTTGATGAGCTAATCTTTCACTCTTTTTATCCCGCGTTCACAATTACACTATCTATCTATTAGAATTTATAAATCATACACCGAAGTCTTAGATTATATTGCCCTTATGCTACAGTTCCAGCATATCATATACACACTCGCTTATAAATCACTTTCATACTTTCATACTTTCATACTTTCATAGATATAATAGATATAAATATAATCTAATAATCATACTCATCTCCCCATCTCCCATCAAACCAAGACAAACTACCGACCAACCAACCACCTACCAAAATGCTACCATCCATCTAGGCAGACGGCTACAAAAACCAAACCAAACTAAACCAAACGCCTAAATCCAACAAAAGCCAGGCCAGGCTAGGCCAAACCATCTCGTCTATGTATGTATGTATGTATTTATAAATCAAATCCGAAGACAAAGCAGCACCTTTTGTTTCTATCCCACCTTTATGCTTTGCTTTGCTTTGCTTTGGAATACGTTGTTTTGAATACACCCTCCATGTTATCATCTATTCCATTCCTAATCCCCCATCCCCGTCCCTATCCCCATCCCATCCTATATCTTTTATTTCCTTCCCCATTCCCCAACCTCTAACCCTTCAAACCCATAAACCCTCTCCCCTATCCCAATATCCTCTCCCTAGAAACCCATCAACCCCTTATGCCTCTTAACAGTAAGTAAACTAGTACTAATCTTAAAGCTCATCCTCGTCTCAAAAACATAAGTTTGAGGCCAACTATGCAACTTTAATAATTTCTCCTCACAATCCATTAATTTTTCTCTTCGATACTCCAATAATTTTTTCTCTGACATCTTTTCCCCTGAAGTTGAATCTCCCCCTGGAGGAAGATCTTTTTCCCGCCAAGAACAACATGCTAATTCATAATAAGCAGACGGAAGAGTCCAATCATCACGAAGAGCTCCGTGTGCATTTCTGATTGCGTTAGTTGTGATTTCCAAATGAAATAACATTTATGAAATAAGAGGAATACCTTTCAGAATCAACGATTTCCCCGGTCAAAATTTTCCTCGCCTCCTCATACTTTCCCAAACTTCTCAACATACAACCACGAAGTAAAAGATGAATAGCCACATCTTCTTCATCCTCATTACATTTTTCTGGACACGTCATTCTTTCCTTCTTGAGAAGATCCAAACATTTCTCTAATTCCACTGTTCCACTCTTTTTTACTCCATTCCAGAAATATATCATTTCAACAAATGGACTAGGTCCAATTGCATCCACGAGATCAACTCCCCATGCCTTGGCTCTTTGTTCCCACTTTCCCACTTTGCTAACTATGTAGATATCAAATGGGAGTTGTTTAGCCATGACTTTTTGTTTACCAGCTAGAGGTGGTGCTTTCAGAATGAATTCTATAGCCTTCTTCTTGTGAACCTCAGCTGCTGCGGGATCGCTGAGTCGTGTATTACGATAAAGCTCCACATATGAAATACCAGCAATGTAAAAGTACAAGGTTGGACTCCAAGCACTCTGCTCGCTGCAATTAATCCATGCCGTAGCCGATTTTTCGTATTCATGAATGAACAATGTAGTAAGAGCCATCTCAAACGTATTGATCATAGTAATTTGTTTCATCTTACTCTTGGAATTCTCTTCCAGAATTACAAGGGCACCTTTCAAATCTTGCTTATAGGATAACATACGAGCTTCCTCCAATTTCCACAACTTAGAATGGGGATATCGAGATTGCATGTCAACTAGGAGCGCCTGACATTTATTTTTTGGATACCCGGTAGGATTATCATCAGCTGCGTCGTCAGTGGGTAGAATATCGCAGAATCCAACTAATCCATTGTAATATCCCAGTAGAGCAAGAGCAGCAATAGCACTATTGAAATTTTGATATCTTGTTGCTTGCCACAGTAGTCTTGTTCCACGTTCTCGGTCTCCTTTAAATCCAACAATGTATAATATCTTGTTAAAGATTGGATTCTCAATCATAGAGAAAACAAGAAGTAGAAGACCGCAACATAATCGAACCCCAGAATGTATAAAGATATCCGTTCGATTGGTAAATACTCTTGCCGCAAGTTCTGGATCGATATCATAGGGGTTCGTAACCGAAGGGGGTGAAGGGGGTCTCGAGATATTCGGATATGGATTATTGGGATCCAGCATCTTTTCATCAAGATCTCCTACAGATAGATCTGCTGTCCGATGCGCAATTTCATCAACAGTAAGTGCTGCCATTGAACTTTTGTGACTCGGGGTCCTAGAGGAAAGTGAAGTCGTACTCGAATGGGCTATCTTTTCCAGATATTTATTCTCAACCTCCAATATTCCATCCAGTGTAAGATATGCCTTTCTCAGTTTATAGAAACCCTTAACAGCTTCTGTAATACTTCCACTGAGAACTGCAGTAATTGCGCTGGTCAATTGAGCCCTACAAATAACATGTCAGCTCGGATTCTCCACTTACCCACGGCAACAAACTTACACAGAATAACACAACAGATACTCCGTACCCTGCGGATATATATTTGATTGAAAAGCCGTCGAGTCCTTCTGAGCCTTCTTCATATCATCCCAACTTTTATTCTCAGCATCTTGTAAGATAACCGCAGCCTCTTTTAACAAATCCTTCTCGACTCCCATCATTGCCGACAAGAATCCAGAAATTCCTCTTCCCAAATGATGGTAGGAAGAATCGTGTTTCTTCAACAATTTGTCGGCTTCCTCGATATCATCATTCAACAACTTTAACATTGCGGCCTCGACGTCCCTCAAATGTTGTTCTTCGCTCTCCGCAACCATGGCAGGAGTTGCCTTTACGGCAGATTTAAACCACCGACTCATCTTTTCTGCTTCTCTTGTATTTGTTTGCGCGGGTATGGGCTAGACACTTTTGATTCCGTGTTCAACTTGTAAAGGTCTTGTGACCTTGGATAATGGTTATTCTGACAAGCGGACCATGGGATTTTGCGTTTGTGAAGCAGAACCTGATAGAGTTCTTGGATATTCGACTTGGTCGCCAGCGGACCATGGACTCTGTGTTTGTGAAGTAGTAGTTGATGAGTTCTCGAATATGCAAATTCTGGCGGAAACAATCAATGTTTAAGATAGGCTTCAAGAAGTGATCAAAAGCGAATGGTCTCGGGTGCGGTCTATTCTGTTGGTGAAACAAACGTTGATTTGATATTGAAACTTTGGATTCCCAACGCTCGGATTATGCGGGCACTTATGATGATGGTAAACGTGCAGGTACCTGGTTTCAGGTACAACAAGATAGATGGATGTATTTGAGAAAAGATTCAAGAAAGAGAAAGGGAAGAGAAAGATTCTCTTTTATGATGCTTGACTAAATTCAAATAATCTTATTCACAATACCTGGGTATAATAGGTATGACGAACATCTAGAAATAAAAAGGAGATCCGATGTGCATAAAACCTGGAGTTTACAAAGCAAAGCTTCGTATTTACGGACGAAGAGGCAGAACCCAGCGTCATCCATTTTATTATTGTTATAATTAGGCATTACATGCTACCTAGATAGTAAAGTAATAAGTACAGTAAGTGTAAGATCCCCAAGCTCAGGCCTAGAAGAAACAGCATGCACGCGACAGGGATATTTAATAATAAAGAGCTTCTAGTGTAACATTAGAACTAAACTTTATTAGTATCTAGCTCATCAACAAGGATTTCCAAAAAGACACTGCCTTAACTTAACGCCATTTCGCATCGACCAAATCAAATCCGTAATCAACCACTCTACTCTGCCCCTACCGTACCGTGCTCAAAACATCCATCATCATCATCACCAATCCATTTACTCCATATCTACACAGCCATAAACAACAACAACGCAATCCCGTCCGAATTTCCACAACTACCATAATACACAATCCGAGCCAGCACTATCCTCCCCCTCGCAAACTCCAAACTCCAAACCCAAAATACACCCATCACCCCACCCCTCAACCATCATGTCCGCTGCACCATCTACGGGCGCCCCCGTCCCAACCGCAAAGGCCGTCAGCACCGATAAATCCGCCGATGCGGCGAAAGATCAAAAGACCGCTACTATGTTAGAAGAAGATGATGAATTTGAGGATTTTCCCGTTGAGAGTAGGTTTTATTTTCTATCTTGGGGGTTGGGTGTTGGCATGCATTAGTATGTTGGAATTGGAGGAGCTGCGTTTTATCGCGGGCGCAAACTTCTAAGTGATGTCTCCAACTTGGTCATGCATTGGAGTGGGCTATGGAAAGATTCATTGTTGATGAGCAGCACTGTCGTTATAGTATGAGGGGCTTTCAACTTCTGGCCCTTGGTATAGATAATGGATGATGAGGGAAGAGCTAGCTTTATGAGCTTTCATGAGCTTGGCCTGCAGGATACAGCGCAACAGAGTCCAAAGTTGAGACTGAGGAAATGTTTCTTCACATTCTTAAGCTTTCTCGCACATCCATTTCCACTACCAAAGAAGCTTTCATACAAAAGCAAGATCAGAATAAAAGCTAACATGCCCCCACTAGACTGGAGCCAAGAAGATACAGAAGTACCCGGCGACAACACACACTTGTGGGAAGAGAGCTGGGATGACGATGATACATCGGAGGATTTCTCCGCACAATTGAAGTATGTATTACCATGCCCCTCCTTTCGCAACCCATCGCGTAATGTCCACACTCTTTTCAGTCATTTTCCATACACCCGCCTATAGTATAAATTCTAACCACCTTTCATTTACAGGGAAGAATTGAAGAAAGTCGAAGCAAACAAGAAGAGATGATCTGGGCATATGTTGTTCGTTGGACGATATACATTCGATCAGGAGTTTATGGGCATAACATCATATCACATCAGCATATCGCATATCGCAGTACCAAATTACTAGAACATGATAGGCATTCAAAGGAGATGATCATGATTTGCAATTCTCTATAATAATGTTTTTTTTGGTCATTCATTTTGTCATCATTCCAACCGTCCCTTCGTGATTTGAGCTATCATTTACTGCCTTCGCTCCTAACGAATCTTCCTAAAGGTTGGACTTGTTTGAACGGTCTGACTTCCTATCAGAGCCGAACTATTTTACTGATCTGACTTCTAAATTTACTTACTCGACAAAGCAGAAACACCTGGAAGGTCCTTGCCCTCGAGCAATTCCAAAGAAGCTCCACCACCAGTGGAAACATGGCTAAGCTTGCTCTCAACACCGTACTTAGCAGCCACAGTAGCGGTATCACCGCCACCGATAATAACAATCTTTCCACTCTGTGCAGCATCAACAGCGGCATCAAGAGTAGCCTTGGTACCCTTGGCAAAAGCCTCGAACTCGAAGACTCCTGGAGGACCGTTCCAGAGAATAGTCTTGGACTCGTCGATAGCTTTCTTGTAGAGTTCGATACTCTTAGCTCCACAGTCGAGTCCCATCCATCCGTCTGGGATACCCTCCTCATCAGTAGCGGTACCAGTCTTAGCATCCTTTGCGAAGTTGTCTGCGGTAATGTAATCAACTGGCAAGACGAGCTCAACATTATTCTTCTTGGCCTTCTCAACGAGATCCTTAACGGTCTTGCTTCCAGCCTCATCGAAGAGGGAGTTTCCGATCTTGACACCCTCCAAGGTCTTCTTGAATGTGAATGCCATACCACCACAGACAATGAGTTTGTCAACTTTGCCGAGAAGGTTATCGATCAATTGGATCTTATCGGAAACCTTGGCTCCTCCGAGAATAGCCAAAAATGGTCTTTGAGGGTTCTCCAATGCCTTGGCAAAGTACTCAAGTTCCTTCTTCATGAGGAATCCGGATGCCTTTTGTGGGAGATCAACTCCGACCATGGAGCTGTGAGCTCTGTGGGCAGTTCCGAAAGCATCATCTGGAAACATTAGTTAGCTACTGAAATTTATACTTCTGAAGGCTGTATTGTATGTTGACATCAAAACTAGCGAATGAAAATCCCCATTTTACCAGCCATACATGGGGGGAAATGATGCCCAGAATTTACATGTCCCTCCAGACTCCCAAATGTCTGAAACGTAGCTGGACAATAAAAGTCCACAACCCACAGAAAAAAGAAAATAGAACTCACTGATATAAATATCACCCAAAGCAGTCAAACCCTTTCTAAACTCCTCCACCTTCTCCTTATCAGCCTTAACCTTCTTTCCCTCAGCATCCTTCGAGGATCCCTCCTCCTCAGCATGGAATCTCAAATTCTCAAGCAAGACAACCTGTCCCCCAGTCGCCTTATTAACAATCTGCTCAACCTCCTTTCCCACACAATCCGGCGCCATCTCAACCTTCTTACCTCCCAACAGCTTCTCAAGCTCTGGAACTACAGGCTTTAACGAGTATTTAGCGTTGACTTTTCCATCCGGGCGACCGAGATGAGACATGAGGATAACGGCTTTAGCGCCATTATCGATGGCATATTTGATAGTTGGGACGGCACCGGCGATACGTTGGTTATTGGTGATGTTTTTGTCGGAATCGAGGGGGACGTTGAAGTCAACCTAGTGGGAGCGGAGGAGGTTAGTGCGGTTCGTTATTTTAGATGCCGTTGTTTAGTATGTCCTAGTAGATTTTGGACTTCCAAAATACTCAATATGTACTCAACAGAGCATACTTCTGTAGTATAGGATGGAGATTTGATGGGTAGATTAGAACAGTAAACATACTCTGATTAAAACTCTCTTATCCTTCACATCCACATCAGTGATAGAAAGCTTATTTGAGAGAGACATCTTCAAGGTGTTTGATTCGAATATCTAGGTAATAGTTGAAAGAAGATGTAGAATAGTCAATCTTCTTATTGTTTTGTTCGGAAGGTTTAAAAGCTTGAACTGAATGATTTAGAAATTGGTTGAGGAAGAAACAAAAATAGAAAGCAAAAGGGGACGTGAGTTGAGATTTGATGGAATGTCAATGCCCCTCTATCATGGTGGGGTGCTTTTTCTTGGGAGGGGAGCTTCTTCGGCAGCTTGTCGGGGGTGCCCGTGACCTTGTTGGATCAAACCTAAAGCAATCTACTCTAGCTCTTTATTTTATAAGGGTCCAAGTATGAGGCATTTTGATATGTCGATGTCTGCTTAAACTATTGGAGAGATGGACATTGTGTTTTTACAACTTTATATTTAACAACTTATTTATGATCTCCACTAACATGTCTGGATAAACCGTTCCAGCCAGCTTATTTCATTGGAGGGCAACGAGGAGCCGTGCCGGGTTACCTGTATAAGTATATCTAGAAGATCAAATGCTCATTCTAAAGGGTCACGAATATCAGGCTCATGCGTTATTGCTAGTAGATGTGTACTCTGTTGAATTCATTCGATATGTATATCTGTGATCTAGAAGAAAAAACCATCGTGATATCCGCCTCCAAAATCCGGCGCCAAACACCATTCCAATGTCCCAACCAGATATGAAAAATGAAAGTCGTAATACACAGATATATTGTCCAGTGTAACCTATCCAGATCAAAATCCTAGACCTAGAACTCCATTCCTTCCGTATGCCGCTGATTCCGGTTCATTTGTACACCACTCATCCATATACTCGGGTCTGGGGTTATAGTAATCTGATGTTTGGTGACACCGGAGCCGATCGAACATCCAAAGCATCCTCAGCAGCATTTGATAAGGAGAGGTAAGCGGTCCATGCAATACCAACGGTTGAGACGAATGGCTATAGAAATGATTAGCAATTAAGGCTTCGTGTTAAGAGTCCATGAGGAAGAACCTACCAATTGGAATTGAATCGGCATAAGTCGGAAATTGATAATTTGTACCAAAGGCCAAACCATGAAATTAGCCTTGAGAGTTGGCAGATACATATCCCGTAGCTTTTGAGCAACTGCTCTCTTTCCGCCACCCTCTGCGATGGTCATAACCGTAAAGAAGTTGGCGATTCCTATGATATGTCAGTCGTCTTACATTTTAACGAGATCACGGAACTCCATACCGACTGGTGCAAAGATCAGTTGATCCATTGCAACCATCTTGAGTGCTGGTGCAAGGCCACTCGACTTTGTGATTGGAAATGCCCTCGATAGAAATTGGAACCATTTGAACTGTATAGGCGCCATCGCAAATCCATATGCCATGAACCTCGTCAATCGCTCGAAATCAAAAGGTGGAGGCAGAATCTTAGAATCTGGGATAAGTTCACGATCGTTAAGTGGATTTTTCGTATCGAGTTCGTGGATCTCTATGGCCAAAGTATCGTCCTTCCTTACTCCTCCAGGTTTTCGTACTGCGGCTTGTCTGATGGATGTTATGGACTGGGCCACTGTATCGGCTATGCCACCCAACACTGCGTTCGTAACCATCATTGTGAGTACTGGACGAGCAGCATAGTAGCTGTTAAATTTTGCGGAGAGTCTCCCGACCATGATGAGTTCGATGAGAAAAATGATTGTATGGATCAAAGGCTGTAATTGCGAAAATGTATTAGCATTTGAAAGCTGGAAAATGGTTCTTGCCCTAAGATTATTACTAGACAGCCTAGCCCAGCACCAAAGTAAAAACAGGATCAAACGGAAATTACGCCAAACTCACAACTCTGCCGTAAATGTACTTGCTATTTGCTGCTCGCATAAAGCGTCGCCGTTGGATTTCGAACGGTAGAGACATGGTTGGGAAAGAGAAAGTAGGTAACCAGAAATAGATGGGTGTAATAAGAATTGGCTGGTGGGTTCCTCGTAAAATTATGACGACAGACAAAGACAAGTTCGACGATCTTTAGTTTCCCGATTATACTTAAGCCTGATATTGTTTGCTTTCGTATGATTCTGAATCTCTCCAACCAAATAAATTATAAAAATAACTCGGAAAATAAATATAATAACTTTGAAAAGCGACAAATATTTAAACAAGAATACTTGAAATCAATTATGAAGGATGAATGAAGAGAAAGGAGGGGAAAGAAATTGTCATCCTTCCCTGAAACCACCGAGCCACTTCTTTCACAAGGCAATAGTTCTAATGTTAGTTTCAGTTACGAAATTCATTCGCTGACATCCATTCATGCATTGATCCTCCTTTCGAGATTTGATGTCGAATAAATTGCAATGAGTATAGGTTTACTCGGCGCTTGAACTGGTGAACATAAGAATGTGCTTTATCCATTTCTCCTTTTGGGAAACTTCGAAGCTTCAGATGTGTTTGTTAGTTGGTACCTTATGATTTGAACTTTATCAGAGAGATTGTACTCAATATACGGAGTAGGTACTATCGTACAGTCTTCGTTTAGGTCAAGGTTAGTGGTTGCTTCCCCGCACTTTATCATGGAGTCCAGATATCGTCCTCGGGAAATTATTCAGGGGGTGCACGGTGTGTAAACTGTTCTTACCCAGTTATATATATATTGTTTGCAGTTTCTTAAACCCTAAGTTAAAGGGCGATTTCTTATTTCCAAATTTTGGGTAGACTCAGAGGTTCTTGCCTTTAGCTGCCTCGATTCAACTTTCCTCAAGGATGCTTTAGTGAGCCGAATCTTGGCCATTAGCTTAGTAGCTGAAATAGACATTGCTACCAATACTGGATTAAGGTCTTTTATGTCTGAGAACATCGCATTTTTTGAAAAAAAAAAAAAATTGCTTATATTACTATCTACCGCTATCAGTCTAAGAGCTGTTACAATTTCAAATCCGTTTCCTATCAAATTCCAACTATGAGCAAGTCCGGCCGGTACAATGTGCAACCCCTTTCGCAGGATTTTATGTGATATAGCCCTGTCATGAACTCACCCGGAGTCCATTGAGAAGGTCACAATATCCCATCACGTCCTGGAACCAACCAACTATGAATATATCCTCCCATCACAGCAAGCCACCGTCTTCAAAGCAATTTCACCCGTCTCCAGCAACCACCACTCGTCGAGGGTTCCAAATTTCGGCTATTCTCGACAAGCGACACTGTCACTCTTTCATCGTGTCCTAACACTTGAAGAGCGCATAACAATCATAAGTACCATCTGCCTCAATCGCACACCACCAACCCGGAATTCCACCATCCGTACCACCAACTCCATAGTGACCTCCCGCATAGTCGAAGCTAGGGGATGCGGTAGGACTATTACCCGTCAATATGACTCCATAAGGCAATTGTGAAGCCAAGAAATGAGTCTGGTATAAAGCAAGACCGGTTGTACCGCCAATGACATTGCAAGATGGACTGAAGATCCAGGCATCTTGGACGAGGGGATTGGCGGAAGGTTTGCATTTAGTGGCAAGTTGACAGATTCCCGGTGATTGCATATTGCAAACTGGTGGGTTTGGTGGGCCAGGAGAAGATGGTGCGGATGTAGGAACAGAGGAACTGATTGGAGATGTGGATGCAGATGTTGAAACTGGCGGTGGTTGAGGAGTTGTGGAGGAAGAAGGAGAGCCTGGAGCTGAAGAGACGGTACAGGGAGACTGTCGACGGTTGTGACGGCGAGCTCCAACTATATTGTCGCTCGAAAGGAAGAGAAAGATGGCGAAAAGCGCCGCGATGTGCCTCAAGTGCTGCATTGTTTTCCTGTTCCCATTCAGCACGCTTCATTCATCGCAAGAGTATACTTTTCACTATACCTGATATTTGATACCTGCTACGGTATTCGTCGGGGAGTTGCAGTGTCTAAACTTAAGTAAGTTTCTTGTTTATGGCCCTCGTACTGTTTTGTTGGAGTAAGTTGAGTATTGCAATTGCAATGAGTCTTTAAGAGAGGGAGTTACAGACTAGTTGTAACAGAACTTACTTGTTTCACTCCTCCTCCTTACTGCTCTATCGAATGTTCCAAATGCCTTGTGACTTTTGCTTGCAATTTTAAATTCGCCTCGGGACGAAAGTGAATACCCATAAAAGGATGGAAAATAAGCCTTCGTTCCAGTAAAATAAGCTACAAATTCTCATCTGATATATAAATACAAGAGAAACTATTGAGTTTTTAGGTTTATAGGTAAAAAGAGTGTTGGTTGTTGAGAATTGTTTAACAAGTGCACAAGTCGCATGTCATCGTCTTATGACCCCCGGCACTAGCGTCTGAGATCATTACTTCAACACTACTCGAAATTTGTATCATTCCTCGTCTGAATGTGGTAAGTTCTTCATTCTAGGAAGGAATTCTCGGTCATATTGCCTAATAATTTTTTTATGTACCGTGGAATGCTGCACAAAGTTTTGTGCAAAGCGGACTATGTACGTGATTGTGTTTATGTACTTGTCCCCAACTTTTGGAGTTCCTCGGAGAATATTCCCCGTTCCCCTATGTCTCAGCCGAGACCACCAATCGAGTGAAATCACGAGATCCAGATGACAAGAATGTGAAATAAAAGCTAGTAAGTAGAAATAGGGTATCCGCAATGCGAAAAGACATAGTTTTGTAAATCAGGCGCTTTGTAAAACTCCCCCCAAAAAACAATGGAATAAATAAAAAGACGCAGTCATCCAATCATAACCCGGCACATCGCCATACAAATCCTCCAAAACACCACAATAGGGATTGTCTGCCACATCTGGCCATCCTCTCAGCGACCATCCTCTCAGCGACCATCCTCTCAGCGATCGTCCTCTCAACGACCATCTTTTTAGCAACTATCCTCCCAATAAAAATTCTCTCAGCAATCATTCTCTCAACCGTCATCCGCTCAGTGACTTTCTTTTTAGCGATTGTTTTCTCGGCGATTATCCTTTAAACAACCATTCAACAGCAATGCCACAGCGCGTGGTAGGAATTTTGAAAGATTTCAATTTTCTTTACTCGATCTGTTGACCCCTTGACGTCGATCGGGGTTTGAGTTCTGTACTTGTTCGATCTCAAGGTTGATCGAGGGAGTATCCAAAGTACCATCACTATCCGTGCCTAAAGTCGTCGAAACCAATGCTTCAAACGTCTGCACAGCAGCTTGCATGATATCGTTCGAGTCGATTGACTTTGTGGGAGTGGGATCGGGATTTTCTTCCAAAGTTGCCTCCATCAACGATGTTCGTACAGCAAGCAGCTCGGCGATTCGGTGCACTATACACAAAAAAGTTAGAAAATGGCATGTAATGGGATGCGGCGGTACTTGCTATCATCTGTTCTTAGCGGTTGTCGATACTTCCTCCAGGTATACATGAGACCCACGAAGACCATGGTGACTCTGTACACCACAGTTGCAATGATATCCGGGGTCCACATGATCTGAACTGGAACGGGCGGCATTTTTCGGGAAGGTACGGAGTATTGGATTAGCGCGCGCTCGTGTGCTTTGGTGGAAATATATCAATGCAGAGATATAGGTTAATTAGAACACACGGCAGGAGAATGGTGGCGGTAAATTATTCCTTCGATGGGAGCCAGTAAGTGGGGCGGAACAATACACTTTGTTGAGAATAATGATGTCAATTTCGACGGAAGAAATAGCGAGGAGGGATAAGTTGGCCTCAGTTTGCAATGATTGAGAAGTGATTCACAAGGCTGAAGAGACGTGGAAGCACTTCAACAGAAATTTTGTAGAAGAGAATTGTTTAATGCGTTTGGAGTTAGGGAGAGTATAACAATGGGAGTCGACAGTAGTTTATATCATGACCATAAATACCTGAGCATTCACGCCTGTCTTCAGTTCAGCATTTTGCCACTTAACGAAGTGTCTTGCCACGTCTGATTTGCTAGAAATTCTGCCAACTCTACTGATGCCATACTGTTATCCTGAGAAGAAGAGTTTCCTGGCGAGGGTGTTCTGAAAGAATTGTATGTGTTGGCGTACGTGTTTCTGGTAACTCTGGCCAATTGTAGGTAGGTACTTGAGCGTGACACAGACACGCGGTACGCGTCAAAGCATCAGTGTCCAAAACTCAAAGATAAAATTCTGGCGATGCAGCTTCAACGAACGATTTAAAAATTTGATACTTACTAGAACTTGGTGTTGCCGTATGAAATGTTGGGATGTAAGATTACTACGCTAAAGTGGAATCTCAGCGCGTTGAAGGTACATGAGAGCTCAGTGGGTTATACAGTAGGAACCTGGTTATACCAGACTGAGAATTTGGTGACCAATCAAATACGGCATGAAGATGTTAGCACACACAACACACGCGTCAGGAACTCGAGACTGACTCGACATAACAGGATCTAGGACTCAATAGAGAAGTTGAGAGACATCCCCTTTCCCAATTCATCCGCTTCTCCATAAAAATACTATCCAATTAGATCACAAACTGCAAAATAAAGTGATTCCAAAAAATCCACTTTGGCCCCCAAATTCCTTTTCTGCTCATTTTAAATGGTACATTCCGGAGGTAACACAACTATATTATGCCCAAGCGATGCAGTTAAGGGAAATGAAAGTGCCTAAAAGCTGACAGGTACGAGAACAACAAGTTTCGACAAGTCCTAGGTTCGCCTCACTAAATCCCACTTTTTAGCTAGTCTTGTAAGTTTTTTGGAATAAATTTTGATGGATGTGTGGCTTCCCAATATATGTTGTGTATCACACCATTAGTAAGTCGGACAACTTAGGTTGGGTCCTTGTTCTCCAAACCAGGTGGGTGAGGGGTGTAAAGGGCTTTGAAGAGTAAAAAAGTATTGAAGAAAGGAAGGCCCCTAAAAATAGTTGAAAAGCTTTGGAGGAGTCAAAGCTCTCAACACCGAATTTCAACACTATACATGATATCACAGTATGCGATATACAACATCCCATATACAAATCTACAGTTTTGGATTACACTAAAAATCACGATTGAATCGGAAAATACTATAGTCGTACAGTGATTGATGCACTGGCACCAAAACGGCAGATTGAAAAATTCGCGAAGTGAAGAGTCGTAAAGCATCCATTGTCTTGAACTTATCTAATATGGCGGTGCACTTCTCAAGGGCTTGGCCTGGGAATCAAGATTGTGGGTTGCGCCTGGTGGCCGGACTTATTCTGATGGGCTGTGTACGGAGTACAGAATCATCTCACTCAAGCTAATGCTTGCTCTAATCAACTAAGAGACCTCAAAGAAACTTAAGTAAAACGACCACTGCTTTCCCAAAGGATCAACTCATTTTACATGTTAACATCGAAGAATCAAGATTATGGAACTCTCAGGACAGGATCCCGTCACAGACGTTTCGCATTTCAAAGACAAGGTCAACAACTCACTAGACCAATTGAGCCGATCTTTGGCGATTCTCAAGAAAAGGAAAGCGGTCGAATTGACACATCCTGGTATTGAGTCTCCTTTGTATTGGGCTGACATTGATGCAATCACCCCCAAGTTGACATCGACCATCAGGGACATGTGGGAAGCAAGCGAACGACTCTCGAACGAGATCACCCAAACTCATTATGGTGAAAAGATCCATAGATCAATCTGGGAATCTCGCCTTCAGAAAGCAGCATCAAGCTACAGTGGCACCAACGATGATAACCGAAGGCTCAGTACATCGACTCACGGAGTCTCGACTACACCACTTCCTCATACCGCTCAAAGCACACAACATTCTTATTCTGCGATACCTTCTGTGCAGAGACCTTACTCTTCCGTCCCAAGACTTGATCTTTCAACGGCTAACCGAGATATGGAAGAACACCAAAGGATTAGCAAAAGTGGCTCAACATTCTCAGGCCTGGGGGATCTCTATCATACTGAAAATCAGCTGGATGCCGTAAGGTCGAACCTTCAAGCTCCGGTGATCACTCTGCCTTTGTCCACCACATTTCAAGAAAGCTTTCCGTCACCAACAGCATCTCCTTCCGAACGCACACCCACTGCCAATGAAGTCAGGAAAAGAGGGGACCCTCATATTTGCAATTTTTGTTTCAAGACTTTCACACGAGGCACTACACTCCGTGAACACGCTAGGACTCATACAGATGAGAGGCCATATAAGTGTTGCTCCTGCGAAAAAGCCTTTTCCAGACTGAAAGACTGTCGTCGCCACGAGCGCCTGCATGCCAATGCCATCACAGCCCATTGCGGTGGCGGTTCTTATGGTGTACTTTGGGGATGTGGCCGGAAATTCACAAGACCAGATGCACTCAAAGCACACTTGAGCTCAAGTCAGGGTGTAGGTTGCTTGAACCCTCTACTTGAGGATAGAAAAGACAGAATTTTACGAGCCGCATTCCGCAATATAGCTTTCTGCGAAGGTCCCATGGAGGGGGATATGTGGGGGTGTGGACGACAGCTTGAAACATTGGATGCCCTCAAAGCACACTTGGAAGCACAAAATAAACAGTGCTTCAAATCCCGAGCTCATCTTGATAAGGAGCAACTCGATTGTTTGATAATTGAGCTTGGTCGCTTTCCCTATGCCTGCCCTAGAACATATGGTGGTTGCGGTAAGCGATTTGAAAGTGCAATTGACTTGAAGGTGCATGTCGATGTTCCTTGCCAATCGCATTGTTTGAGATTAGGAATTATATTCAAAGCTATGAAGACGCAGGACTGGAAAAGTAGCAAGGAATAGAGACTGCGAGAAGAACTTTACAAGAATGAGTCTCGGAGATTGTATCGAGGCAAGAGGATACGACTCCAGTCACCACTCCACAAGGTTGTTGGGAAAACCAGATGGAGGGTATCGGAATTTTTCATCGCAATAAAAGGTTGCGTACTCTCAAGCGGACTTGGGAATGCATTACTTCATTCTTTTATCCCTCCTTCTACTATGCCATTCATACAAATTGAGCCTCCCGCCTTATCCAGTACGGCTACGATTACTCAGATATCCTTCACATCTACCCCAAATGATCTTGCTCTTCTGAAATCACGTCCACTAACAGCCCTAGACTGCAGGATTCCTTCCCTTGAGGACCTTGTGAAGATACTCATGAGTAATGCGAGACTGTGCTCTTCAACAATTAGTTTAGTTTTTAATTGCATGCTTCATTTAAGACATTTTAACATCCAATGATGCAAGAGTGCATACAGAAATTGCTTGTCTCGCTTTGGAAAAATAGTCAAACTCAAACATACTTTCTCCCTAGTAACTACCCAGAGACCTCCTTTAGCGATCCTGTAGATGTAACTACTGTCAGTTCCAGGGATCCTAAATCCATATTTCGTAGAAGAACAACTTGCACTTCGCAGACATCTAGCAGTGCCAAATCTCTGTTGCCTTCTGGGGTATTGGACAAAGCGTGAGCCGTCCCAAGAACCACCGTATAAACTTCATGACTTTAGGACAGATATATGATTCCTCGTTCACAATCCATAGCGTGTGAACTTCACGGATGCCGCCCAGCGGAGATTTGAATGGCACAAAGATCTTCATATGTACTCGCACACACGATGGCAAATTTGATGAATTTTAATCATTTCTCGTGATTCGAAAACTTTGCGTGTGCAAGCGCAGCATTTCTAAAGCGGTAAAATGGCTTAAGAAAAATGTTTTGGGAGCGCGACGATATTCTATAGCCATATAGGCAGGTGCACCTCCTAGTTCATCTTGACAGATGTGGAGGATATTTGGAACAATACGCTGCGTAGTAGGGAAAAAAGTTTAGCCGTGGACGTATGCGCTAGCTATTCGTCATTTTTCTGCAAGATGGCGTCTTAAATTCCGCTGCCAAAATCGTATTTAAACTTTCATTTTGTTTCTTTGATGTTGTCGCACTGTGTATGCTGAAGTCGATGGTCTGTAAGTCCAAATGGAATCAAAGCAACGCGTTTGAGGGGCTCGCTAGGTTGGCGAGAAACGCGTCTCATCAGATGCCGTTCATACTCATCGCTTGAAGAATCGGAAGAAGATTCACTGACTTCTTCACCTTTCTGCCGTGTCAACCGATCAACCTGAATTCTTAGAAATTCCCAGGCTCAATACCGTACCGACCACTTCCGGTTCGCATGAGGAATGGGGTGATTGGGGTAAGTAGAGCGGATATCTAATATATTAATTCATCCAAAGAGCCTCGCACAATTATTTCCATCTCCTCCGATCCCCCCATTCCCTCCTTCTCGGCACTTTGATGACAAAGTTTTGTCGATGCGAAGTAATGATAGCGCAAAACAGCACAACCTCGGCAGAAATTGATATGAAAAACTCAAGAGAAAGTCGAAATAATGCTGTCTTGTCATTGCTTCTATTCGAGAACATGGAGAGAGAGAGAGAGAAGTGTTCGCACGTGGACGTCTGTCAGCTTTGAAGTTTCTCAGTAGTATATTTCGTCTTGCAAATCTTTTGGAAAGTTTCCACTGGGAGTTTATGATAGAAATACAGTACTTGGCCATCTTAGCAAGTAAGCCTAGCCATGTTGCAGGTTTGGGCTTGCTATTGCCAAAAGTCAGAAGAGCATCCTTCTAGCTAGGTAAAGCCAAAGCAAGTGCTAAAGGGCGAGAAAAAGGGGCATTGGACAAACGATGCTCAAACAAGTAGGAGTAACGTTAACCCTTCGAGCCAAACAATCTTCGCCAGATGTGCTCAAGATGATCATGGTAGTAACGCTAGCGGAACGATAATCTTGTGGACTTTGAAAGACAGGCAACAAGTTCCATACCGCCCGAAGAGAAGTTTCTTCGAATGAGGAAATTCCATGACACAGCATTGGAATATTTGATGTCGTTGAATTTGAGTTACCCATGAGTTGGTTCACATCATACGCCCATTCCAACAAGCTTCCTTGGCGCCAATGGTTTTCCTACCAAGAAAGCATTCATCGCCCAGAAAATCGTGATGGATCCTTCAAACCACCTCGGCGTGCGAATTCGGAGACTACGACTAGGAGATATGTATGTTTTCTAGGTCGATACTCCTTAGACGCCACCTAAGAGCATGTATCAAGGTCTTATCTACAATATGAATCATGAACGATATTTGGGGTCCCTTCTAATGATTCCTTACCCGATCCCACGTGATAATGTCCGCGCCACTTCTTTACCTTATCAAGTGGCACGTTCACATCAATCCTTGCACTTCAGCTTTTGGTCACCGCATTGACAAAACACGGATCCTGTTACCTTTATCAGGACATGGACATGGACCTGTCAACTTGTCAGCCAGCTTCGTGTTTCGTTGCACGAGAACGTTTCCTCTTTTCTCTTCACAACATGACTGTTACTCCAGCCATCCGCATGATACTTTTTCGTGGCTCTACTTTTCGACTATTGCATTGTGCCCCAGAGCCCAGATTGCCACTCATACCAGCATTTTACCCGTCCCACTCCATCTCAAGATCTAACAACAAACAACATGTGGTTGTCTTTCCAAGGTTCTTACGATTCTCATATCAGAAATTGGATGCGGCCTACACTTCGTATCACCACTATCTCTCGAACCCTGTCTTTCAGGTTTGATCCTGGAGCCATTTCCGTCGAACAAGGCTGGATTATATTCCATTAGTGGTAAGGCGGAGCTTCAGAAACGTGGTAAACGGCGTGCGCCGATGTTAACCCTTTTAAATATCCAATAATTACCCCAATATGGCCAATCTGGGGTACTCTTTTAGCACTTTATACAGCTTTATCATTGTCCTGCTATCCTGTGCCTCTTCGGCCAATTGAGAACTATGCAAAACGGAGTGTCCGCTATATTTCCACATCCCGTACCTTGCTCCACTAACCACAAGATACCTTCCTGATAAAGAACCGCCAAGAAGAAACCAACTAGGACGCTTATCTATCACGGACCAGTGAAGATCTCCAAAGGCATGCCAAACACTCCATCTTTGTGAGCTCTTATCAAGGTTTGTACGAGTAGCTAGCCTATCGTTTCCCCGGTCAATTGATTTGTCCCAAAGGCATTCTCCATGAATAAAATTAATCTTCTAGAATGTCAAGCCTTAGCTTTCCATTGCATACATATGTAACATGCTCGTGTGCCCGCTCCAATTGTCCCACTCGTCCAAGAAAGTTTTTCTCTCCTCATTTTGCTTCTCCATATCGACAACTTTGGAGCAATGGCAGACTTTGTTCATGGTGATCAAGCTGATCTAAAACATGCTCATGATGTTAAGCATTCCCATGATCTGGAGAGCGGCCGTCTCGAAAAAGATCTTGGTCCTGCCGTGATTGCGGAAGGAAGTCATGAATCCGTGGGCGAATCCGACGAGGTAATAGTGGCTAGGGAACTTGCACAACAGAAAGGCTTCTTGCGCACACTGCGACGTGGTGAAGAATGGCTTGACGAGAAGATGGGAATAGAAACGCAAGGCATTGACAGAATACGTGAAGAAGACAAGCAACCTCCATCGATTCTCAATGTGTTCTTTCTCTGGTGGTCTCTCACATGTCATGTCGGTACCCTACCGATTGGCATTCTTGGTACAGATCCTGAAGTCTATGGCCTCTCCTTGGGTCAGGCGATTGGCGCCATTATCGTCGCCACTGTTTTGGGAGCCGCTTGCACTGCGTTCTGTGGCACTCTAGGTCCAAGAGTAAGTGTTCTAGAAATTTGTTTTTGGGGTCATGGTTAATGAGGTTTTAGCTCGGTCTCCGTGCAATTGCATCTTCTCGATACTCTTTCGGTTTCTACGGCGCAAAACTCTGCTCGATTCTTAATGTTGTTGTTGGTGGAGGTTTTGCCGTGGTCAACATTGTGGTCGTGGGTCAGATTTTGGCAGCCGTCTCCGATTATACAATGACAATCGTGGTTGGAATTATCATTATCGCCATCATCAGTTACATCGTATCAATTTTCGGCTTCAAACTCATTCATACATGGGAGAAATACTCGTGGATCATGACATTCATTCTCATGTGTATCCTGATTGGCCAAATTGCTCCCAAGATGGAGCCAAGTCTACCGTCTACTGTATCTGGTCTCAATTTCTCTGGCTCTTGGTTGAGTTTCTTCGCTGTATGCTTTTCCTCCGCCTCGGCATGGTGCTCAATTGCTTCGGATTACTACTGCAACTATCCTGCGGACACTAAAGGCTGGAAGATGTTCGTCCTCACTATAATGGGAATTTGCCTTCCTACGATCTTTGTGACAATTATAGGCGCATGTCTTGGCAATGCAGCATTGGCTTCACAATCAAATCCATCTTTAACAACGGCATATGATGACCATGGACTTGGTGGTCTTCTTATAGAGTCTTTCCATCCTTTCCGTTTCGCCAAATTCTGTCTCGTCCTCCTGGTTTTCTCCGTTATCGGTAACAACGTGGCGGTAAATTACTCCAGTGGTCTATCACTTCAACTACTTGGTCATTATTTCCATGCAATCCCGAGATTTGTTTGGTCATTTGCAAATGCTTTGGTCGTTGCCGTTCTCGCAATTGCCGGTAGAGCGCACTTATCCACTATTGTCAGCAATTTTGTCTCTCTCCTGGGATACTGGACAGTCTCTTACACATTTATTCTCCTCATAGAGGATAAATGGTTCCGTCGCACAGAAGGTTACGAATTGAACTATTGGGATGTACCAGGCAAACTACCATGGGGTTTGGCCGCCGTTTTGTCTCTTTTGATCGGTTATTTGGCTGGTGGTTTGCCGGGTATGGCTCAGGTTTGGTATGTCGGTAAGTGAACAATCTAATTTCCAAAACATTTTCACACACTAACACAGAAATCAGGTCCGATTGCAGCTAAATTTGGACCCTTTGGAGGTGATGTTGGAATTTTCCTAAGTGCTGTCTTCACTATCGTGACGTATCCTCCCATGCGATGGTACGAGCGCAAGATGACTGGCAGATAAAAACCAAAAGTTGTCGATATCTGTCACCAACCTATCTAAATATCTCTTTTCCTGCTTGGACAGTTCGTTTATAAATTTACATAGATATATATATATATATATATATATTTTCCTGCCAAGAAGGAGTAATTATCTACTTTCACTTTTCAGCATCAAGCTCCATCCTATTTACTCCGTAGATCCCTTTGAGACTTGCAACGTGTATTTACATATGTACCAGTAAAGGAGGCACATAGGAAGAACATTAATTCCCGAGGTTCTTGATGCCCTCATTAAACCCATTACTCGTAAATTTTACATAACGTCAAAATACCCCTCCTTCCCAACCCAGCAACATCACATCACATCATCGTCATAATACAACGCCCACCCATAAAATTATTTATAAACCATCAAGTAATACATTCCACACCACCACACAATATCCCACCAATCCATCTGATTTTCGTGACACAAAATCTAACTATAAATGTATGCACCTTTTCCCTGCAGCAACCCGCCATCATCCATTCAATCCATTTCCCCACAAGACCAATATCCTGTATCCCGTATCTTGTATACCCCATAAGTTAGTTATAACTGGAATTTTTCGTGCTACTAATTACTTAATTTTTGCCGAGGCGCCGAGCACTAGGTTAACTTTAGCGGCGCTAGAAAAAGTTCTAAGAAAAGGTTCTAAAAGTTCTAAAAGCAACGTCACATGGCATACACAATGCACATATGGTATTCTCGTGCTGGTGGGATCTGTGCCGAGTGTGGCCGGCTTCTTGCATTTAAGTTTCGGTTTAGATTTAGATTTGTTATTTATTATTTGTCATGTTGCGTTGCATGGTTTAGGGTTACGATTAGATACCTAGATACTTATTGTAAGATAGGTATATGGGTGGTTTGCAAAGTTTGTTGGTATGTATGTATGTTATGTATATGTACGTACGTATGTATGTATGTAGGTAGATGTGGAAGTAGATTTGTAGGAGGTGGTACAGGTACAAGTATTGTTGTTCTTCCAAAGAACCGAAAAATGGTAGGGATTTGGAAGGAATAATGTAATACCTAGGTAGAATTAATTGAGATAGAAGAATGTATCAAGGGGAGGGATTAAAAATGAGAGGACTCATGTTAATGGGCGCGGAGCTGGGGAATAATACCTTGGGGAAGAGGTTATTTTACAGCCTTTGCGGAACTTCCTTCTATTTCACATTTAGTTTTGATCGGGTATGGTTCCCCTATCCAGCTAAATAAAACCCTTGTTGGCATCGGGTGAGGTTGGTCAGGTCTTATATGATGTCGTGAAATGCGGCTTTGAGTACTCTGAGAAGTTGAATCGTCAAACTCTTTCTTTACTCCCATCAGTTGGCACTAGCTTTCTCGAGCTTCTTCGTGCTGCCCTCAACAGGTCAGGGCTCTGGCTCTAAGTCCAAGTTGCTGGAAATAAATGCACGGATGATACAAGTCATGCAAGAGAACGAAGCTTGCAAATTTGTATGTTTCTTCTTTAGATTTATACTATGCGATACTATGCGATGCGATGCTATGCTATGATATCCTTTCGTTTTGTTTGTCTTCCCACATTAATCTCATCCCAATTGCCGTATAACAAGCAAACCCGACATCTACTGCACTCACAAATAATGTGTGTTGTGAATGTAAAAATCCAAAAGCGAAAGGCAAAGAAGATCTGTCATCTAATTTTACATGGCACGCTTTTGGTACAGTACAAAACTACAATGCAGATGCGCAGATGCGCAGCCATGGGTATTCCCTTTTCAAACTCCTATCAAAAGCAAAATTAGTTTTATGCATTGAATCTAGGCCCTCATCCATTATTTCCCGGTGCAGGACTGTGCCTTCCGCTACCACTCTCATTTCTCCTCATTAGGTTTGGGAATATCAAAGATCCATCTAGGTCGTCCATATCAGGAACATCACTCAAATCACTCTCATCATCTGCACTGTCGTGGACACTTCCGGGTGCCGAACTGTCCTCTCTTCTTGTACTTTGCTGGGGTGCCGTGGAGGGTATTTCGATTCTTGGTGCGGACGCAATAAGGGGCGACGCATTCGAAGGTAAAACAGAAGATGAGGCGGCGTTTCTAGGACGAGAACCGGCGACAGGCCGAGGCGCTTCCGCTGTACGGTTGATAGATTGTTCAGCTCTCAGAATAACTGCCTTCCGGTTGATGCCGAGTTTGCGAGACCTAGGAGGTTCAACAGCAGGAATTGAAGTGGATACATTGGTTTCTGTGTTCGTAAGAATATGATTAAGATTCATCGGGCCCGACGCTCTTGCTGTTGCCTCCCCATCAATCTGGGATTGTTGTAACGCTGATACATCAATGGCGGGAGTATCTCTCACAATCTGGATGTAAAGAACTGCCCAGATATCGTTGATCATATCATCGATCGGAGTTATCTTCGCGAGACCATTATTGAGCCTTTTTAATTCAATAGTCTCACGCAGGGCATCGAGGGCTGGATGTGAAAGACTGCCATCTTTGATAGAGTCCTCGATGCGTTGTGAGTATGCATCCCACCCCTCCTGGGAAATTCCTCTGAACACTTCGTCGACATTAGCAGGTATATTGGCTGCTTTACGAATAAGTCTAAGATATATTGTGCAACATTCGCTCCAGACATCACTGAATTTGTAGTAATCGACGGCTCGTTTCCTTACACGCTTAGCCAATAATTCCATATTTGCTTTGTCGTTGATAAGGAACAACAACCTGGCCATAAATATAGCATATCGTCGCATGTAGACGAAATGTCTTCCTGGTCGTTCCACTTCCGGTTTCCACACTTGCATGGACATGGCCTTGGTGAATATGGATTCTCGGAACTCAATGCGAGCTGCACAAGCTTGAACATAATCCGGTTTGGCCTCATCGTAAAGAATATTAGCTACACGAGCAATCATACGATGATGCCAGTGTGGTTTGTCTGCATTCCGTAATTGGCGAAAGCAAGCAAGAATGAAGATCTCCCAATCTTCATCGCTTTCAATCACAAAGGGATCCCCTTTTCGTGGACCATAGGGTTGATCCTGTAAAATTTTGGCAGCATCTTTGAATTCCATTTCTCCCCGTGCTACAAGCTTATGGACAAGAGAGACGAGCTTGTAATGCGGTTCCAAAATAGGCTCTTGACTGCTTTTACTTGGTTTAGGACAAGTTTCTATGGCGCGAACAAATGCACTCAGGACCATATCCATGGTGGGAACATTGGTTGGAGGCTTGTCACTCCATTCCTCTCGAGCACTGGCTACCATCTTCCACTGGCATTTTCCAAGCATAAAATGGTTCCTAAACATATCAGCATCAGGTTTTACATGGATCATAATCTAGACTTACATCCAGAAATCTGGCCGGTCCGCCAGGGAGCGCTTGAATAGTTCCGATGCATACCTCCACAACTTGTATTTACTCATTTCTTCGAAAGGCATCTTCTTGTACATTCCTTCTGTCCCGCTCATATGCTTTTCTTCGTCAACCCAGAACACTTCCATGCTAAATGGCTCTCGAGATGATGCATAGAGACGCATTCCAAAATCATAATACATTTCGGACAGTTTTTCGGCCGTTCCAAATGAACCATCTGCGCATCGCATTGCTGTAGAGAGAGCCATGATATAACAATGAATGGAACACTTTTGCAACCGAACCAAAAGTGGTCTATCATTGTTCATTTTATCTGCGCTCCACAAGACTTCTTCTTCAAGTTCTAAGTCATAACATTGTGCAAGTCTGTACCACGCTTCCCAGTGATCTACAGTGTATTGCAGCTGAAGCTTCATGAAATGCGCAGCAAATCTCAAGTCATCTGTTTGTGAGCCAGCACTCACTCGCTTCGTTGAACGATATTTTGTTAGAGCGAGCATACCCAAAAGATAATACCAACCCTTATCGGCCAGAGGACTTTCTGGAGTACGAACGGAAATGGAATCAATCTCCGACTCGCCTCTCATGGCTAGATATAAATCAAGAGGGCGAATGGGAGTCTTTAAATACTCCGAGATATTCCTGGAGTTGTGAAGCATTGTGGGCGTTTCCTTGGGCTGCCCGACAGCAGTTTGCATTTTCTCAATTGTGGGCTTAAGTTCGTGTTTCATGAGATCTTTCATCGGCATGTTGTTCGCAAGTGAGATGACTTGTTCTGCGATATTCATGACAGTTCGTCGATCTAGACTTTCTATAGGACAGCCGTGATCTTCGAGAAGGAAGGTGCCAACACCTAATTTAATGCCGTATAGGTCGAACAATACCTGGCCTAAATAGTCTTCCCATTTATCAATGTGCTTAAGACGTGACATTTCTTGCTTCATCATCTTGAGAAATATTTTGTTTGAAGCCTTGCAGCACTTCCTCAGACCCAATGAATAGTGCACTAGTGCAAGGAAATCCGCCAGATCATTGTCTGGAGTGGGGAAGAGATCACGGTTCTGAGCTGTAGCTTCTTTGACTATAGCGTATTGTAATGCCCATGTCCGCACCTGCATCTCCTTGAGCTTGTTAGCAAAATTGCTAAAAGATCCAAACGCAGAATAAGCCCCATTCTGTGGAAGTGATATGCTTCCTACTCTCATTTCGTCATCAAATACTGCGGCAGCGTGAAGAATACGACTCAATTGCGCTAATGCAGCACATGTTGACCTGACATGACGGTCATCAATGATTTCAAAACAGGTTGTAGCTTCGTTTAGTGCTGTAGTCAATGCTGGAACCAATAGATGATCAAGAGCCTTGAACGATACCAGCATCTTCTGGCGACGAGTCTCATCATCACAATTCAAGTAATCCTGACTTCTAAACTCCGCAACAAGGATCTCGATGCATTTTAAACTACAAGAGAATACTTTAGTCTTGTATTCGATGCTAGCATATGCTTCACTCAAACGCTGCCACAAGAAAAGGCGAAGTGGTGTGCTTCCACAGTCCAAGAACTTCCACATGTCACGTAAAATTGTTGGCGTGTTTTCTCCATTTTTAGAAAACTCGCTATCTTGTGAGTCTGCGATCTCCATTACTGCAGACTGAGATGTGGCTTCTGGGTCAAGCACTGGCTCGAGTGTCTGAATAATTGCTAACGGATCGGATCTACCAGGTTGGAAAAGATTTTGAAAGAATTCCATTGTTGTCAAACTTGAGACCTCCCTGTCCGCAGCAGAGGTGGAGATTTCAGCTATAACGGCATTGTTCGTGAGTAGAATCGGTGGTTTTCCGGCTTCGTTGAGGATGTCTCTAAGATTTGTCCACAAAAATACTTTATGCTCTCGTGAGCTCTCTCCGGGAACTGTGGCATAGAAGACAGATGCCCACAAATACCTCAAAGATAATTCATCATCCCGCTCATGCTGCCGACTGCGCATCACAAAGGCCGCAAAATTTGCCCACCGATCAAGCCGATCCTTTGTCATGATCCTAATATCCATTCCAACCATGCTATCTGCGTTGGTAATTCGTGAATAAACGTCAAGGTGAAGCTCAAATATTGTCTCCACCATCTCTTCTAGCTCTGATATTTGGGTAGAATTTTCACCAGATGAGCGACTTAATTCCAACTCTGACCGAACTCGATCATAAATATCTGCATCCAGAAAACTAGTCATTCGAACGACGGCGACTTTCAGTTCAGCACTCCATTGTCGTTGTAGATAGGTCGCCAGAACAATACGCAGCCACTCAAAAACAACATCTTGTAAAGGCATCCAGTCTTTTTCGACTCTTTGTGCAAACCATGAGATTCCGCCAAATTCGGCGAATGGTGGTGGTTTGTTGGCTACCTTTTGTGATATCGAACCGGAATGCTCAAGAAAAGCAGACATACCAGCATTCGCGTTACCCCCAGAAGCCCCCAGGATATCGGCTGCATTGGCCGTTTCGAATACAGTTGCCTTGACGTCGTCCCAAGATTTCATGATATCACGTAGATCTCTGACTGCTGTATTATTTCTAATCTCGTTACTTTCTGTGGCTGTATCAACCGCCAAAGCTACTTGAAGATCTTCACGTGTCCCCAAATCTTCGACGCCTAATTTCTGAAGCATGTTCCCAACAAATGTGAAAACGTCATCGTCAGCACGGGCAAACGTCTTCAGTTGTTCCGCATATTGAGTCGTCGGGTCAATGGGGGTTTCAGCAGTACTCTCACGATTTCTGATACGCCTGCTGCGCTTATGAGTGCTGTTATCTTCTTCCGGGGTATCACGCAGTCCAGCGGCGGATTGAGACCTTTTCCTTGTAGGCAAAGCGGCGTCAGAGGATTTCGTAGTAGCTGCTGAAGTAACCTCACCGGCCCTTTCGTCAGAGTTATTAGTAGTAGGAGTACCATTGCCAAAACTCTCGGCTACAGGAGATATTGCCATCACAGTATCGTTTGCTTGCTGGCTTTCGAGATGCTGGGGCTCGGGTGAAAAGGGTTGATCTTCTCCTGGTGGTAAGGCAAGTATTACACCAACAACAGGAAGGGCCTGAGCAGCTCCACATATCTCGTGGCCAATAGAAGTCCATGACCTTTCTGGCACGTTGATGATTGCACGCCCCTCAAGAATTTGCAAGGGTTCATCAAAATCAATGCTCCTACTCATAGTACTGGTGGGATTCGGGAGGAATGGATATGGATCAATATGCTTCTTCAAGAATTGTGGCATGGTTTTCTTTTTGAACGGTCCCATTATTGGATGAGATAAAGATAATTCATCCGACATTAATTGAAGTAGACTCTTCAATTGTTCTCCTGCAAAGCCCTCTTCTAATGACTGAGGTTCGACTTCGGCAATGGTCGGGTCATCATCAACTTCGACAGCAGCCTCCAGACAGTATCTAGAAATCCTCCTACTCCCAAGCATTGCTCCAATACGAGCTGCCCGTCTCCATAGCTCGGTATCTGATTCATCACTGACTAGCGCACGCCCAAAATCATCCATCGAGACTTTGGCCTGGGACTCGAGTGCTGCACGGTGCCCAATATCATCCATCAAGCCATGCGAATGCCGCAAACGAGCTTTCACGCAATCTAGGATGAATTGACCATGATTTTTGTGTGCAAGATATAGGATTTGAGGTAGTGTGCTGGGCGTACCGTCCACGGCAGCTGGACCAATGTCAAGTTCGGTAGGTATTGTAGAGTCGACATATTCAAGTTCCGGATGCTCTTCAAGTCTCGTAAATTCGGTGACAGCCTCTGGGTAACTAAAGATCTCTGATTGGAATAAGTTCTTGTATGCTTCGGCAGCTTCTGGATAATAAGGAAGCCCTTGAGCATGTAGCTTAAGCGCAGCTGTGTAGAGCTTGAGGGCATCTTCTATCTGAATTTCTCTTGTATTATCGATCTCATCATAGCTTTGATCGTCGGGTTCGATGTTTAATGCGGTAAATGATGCCATCGTGCCGGTAAGGAACCGCAACACTGCAATGTTTTAATCATGTACGGACAGTAATGGACGCGATGTTTATTGTGTGCATGGCGCCGTTTTTGAGATGCAGCTACTCACAAATCCCGAAGAGTAAACGGGTCGGATATCTGGATAGAATGGTGTATTTCCAATCCACGCTTTTGTCTAGCGCGATCGGTAAAATGCGCAAGAGCTGTCTATTTTTGTTTCTTGAACCTCTTCTACTACAAGAGAAAGCGATTTCGGGGGTGGTGTTGAATTATTGTGATAGCTATTTGCGTCTATGCAATTGTAAAGTACGGTATTGAAAGGCAAGAAAATCACAGTGAAATACGTTCGCTATTTTGATATTGCCAAAAGCAATCCAAATTCACGAGCTTTGCGATAAGGTTACCATCGGACAAATCATTTTCCGAGAGATCTGCCCCCCCTCTGTTGTATAAGATAGATAACCACTGCTCGCAAAACAAGCTGATGGCTATATTTGATTTATATTTGATTATGTTATTCTTCTTGTAGTCGCTCAGACCGTAGAATTACATTTGAAATGTACAAGTCTATAAAGAATCACACCGATCTAAAGATTGCTCATAGAGGAGCACGGATTAGATTCCCATTGTCTATTCTACTCCTCATTGCTGTCGTGCTTAGTTTGCAGCTTATCATTCTTCCCCGATACATATATCAAATATCTCCAGCAGCTGCAAAGCTTTCAGATCATTACATATCTCAGATCGAGGTAGGACTTTCGAAATGTCTAGATCTACATACGCTGCCCAGAGAATACCCTCATTCGGAAATCTCATCGCGTGAGAATCCTCGATGGAACGCAATTCGTGGTCAGAATCAGACCATAGTTTTGAGAAATGCAACTTTGTTTGACGGCAAAGTCCTTCTTACTGATCTTGTCGATATTGAATTTGAGAAAGGACGTATTAAGTCTGTATCAGCAGCAACCAAGTCTGCCGATCGTGATCCGAATGTTCAAAGTATCGACCTCAAAGGTAAATACGTTACTCCCGGTTTGGTTGACATGCATTCACATCATTTTTTGCACGCTTGGCCTGAACTCTCCGTTACAGCCGATGAGAATGAGGTTCACATGGGTCCTCTTACCCCGTTTGTTCGTGCAATTGACTCCATTAAGACGGATGATAAGGCAACTGCCATCATTGCTTCGGGTGGCGTTACAACTTCCCTTCTTATTCCTGGCTCAGCAAATATCATTGGTGGTGAAGGGATTCTCGTGAAAAATTATGTACCTGGGGGTGAAACTGGTGAAGAAGTTGTTGAGAATGTCTTGCTTGAACATGGTATACCCACCGAGGAGAGGAGGAGGTACATGAAAATGGCGTGCGGCGAGAATCCTGCAACTCTCTATGATCACAATCGCATGGGCAATGCTTGGTTGTTTCGAAAACAGATGACACGAGGAAAGGAACTAATTGAAAAACAAGATAATTGGTGCTTATCAGCTGCTGCGGTGCGGGTGAGTAGAAATTCTGCGACTATTGCGAGCTTCATGAAGGATGGAGGTTTACCCGAAGATTTGGAATTGGAATCCACGGCAGCCATGTTGAGAGGAAAAGTTGGAATCAACATACATTGCTACGAACCTGAGGACCTTGAAGATATGCTTCATCATAGCAAGGAATTTGGATTTCGAATTCAAGCATTTCATCACGCCCTTGCAGCCTGGAAAGTGCCAGAGTTAATCAAGAGCAGTGAAGAGTAAGTTATGAAAGCTGTTTTTGGATGTCTAAATTCTCATTTTACATTAGAAACATCACTATTGCCACATTTTCCGAATTCGGGTTTTACAAAAAGGAGGCCTACGATGCCAATTTATGGGCTGGCAGTATTCTAGCTGAGAATGGTGTTCCAGTTGCATATAAATCCGTTTGATTCCCTTTCCCATGGAACACACTAAAGCTAACAGTCCACAGGATCACGTTTTTGAAATAACTAATGCGCAATACTTGATGTATGCTTCCTTGGTTGTTTTTGGTTATAATGCTTACTGATGAACGGATAATCAGGTTCCAAGCAGCGACTGCACATGCCTTCAATCTTTCAGAAGCTCTTGCTTTGCAGTCTGTAACCAGCGTGCCTGCAAAGTCGTTAGGAATCGATTATCGAGTTGGATACGTTCGTCCTGGCTATGATGCGGACATTGTAGTGTGGGATTCCCATCCCCTTCTCGCCGGAGCTACACCTTTACAAGTTTATATTGATGGAAAGGCTACTTTGGACCCGACTAAGGTCGCGAAAAGTGCAACGCCAAATTCTGCCAAAGAAGAACGATTTTTAGTAAAGCCGAAATCACGGACATCTCCTACCGATATATCGAAGGTCATTTCATGCAGCAAATTAAACACCTCGAATGAAAATATCATTGTTACTGGCATCAGGAGAAGCTATCTGATGCCTCATCGGGAGATTTCATTAGATTCGAACAACCTCACAATGATTGTTAGTAACGGCAAGATTATCTGTCTTGACTCATTGCAGCAATGCGGTACCCTGCTTAGTGAAGGTGCTACTATCATTGACCTCCAGGCAGGCACTGTAATGCCAGGGCTCACTGCGTACTCACCGAGTCTAGGGTTGGCAGAAATCCTCGGAGCTTCTGAAACCTCAGATGGCTCCCTTGGTGAAACCTCAGCTCTACTAGAGCCAGAAAATATTATTCACGCGAAGTATGGGATTCACCTGGATGGACGCGGGTTTTCCAGGGCAAGACTTGGTGGTGTTACTCAGGTAATTACAGCGCCAATCTCTGAGTCTTTCTTTGGCGGTGTAAGTACCGGTATCAAAACGAGTGGTAAACATAATATCCTTGATGGCGGTATTTTCCAGGACGATGTTGCTTTGCATTTTTCAGTTGGTCAAATGGCCAAGCGTGAGTCCATCTCCGAGATACCCTGCACGGTCAGACTAAATCATACATGTAGGATTTGAGTCCATACCAACAGTGTCTTCTGCCATAGCAAAACTTCAACAAATTTTACTCGTTAACGTTGGGAAGAACAATGTTTATGGAACGGTTGCGAATGGAACATTTCCCTTGGTGGTACATGTTGATAATGAAGTTAGCTTGTCCCATTCCTGCTTGTATCTCTTGGCACTAACATAAAACCACAGTACGATATTCTTCAACTCATAAAACTAAAAAACGACCATCCATTACCTCTCAACCTGGTTCTTCTAGGCGGAGCAGGTGCTCATCTCGTAGCTGAAGCAATTGCGAAATCGAAAACACCACTCATCCTGACCAGAAATCGTGGCGCGCCCGATACATACGAAAAGCGGAATGCACTCTCCGGTCCTCCACTGACACGCTCTCCTGCCGCAGTCCTCGCCGATGCTGGCGTACTTTTTGCATTAGCAATTGAAGGTGAAGGCAGTAAGTTCGCCAACTTCGTCTCTTGTATTTCTTTCATAAATCGCAGACGATCTAATCAAATCCACAGGCGAATCACACATCCACAACCTCGCGATCGAAGCAGGCTGGGCCGCTAAATACTCCAGCCTCGGGAAACTTGAAGCTGTGGATTTAGTGTCTCGTAATGTTGAGAAAATTCTGAATTTGAAGGTTGTGGAAGAAACTAGAGATTTTGTGGTTTGGGAGGGGGATCCGTTACAATTGGGGGCAAGTGTTGTGTTCAGTATGGAGGGTGGAAAGTTGGGAACGTGTTGGCCTATGTCGAATTGATGCCTAGAGGCCTCCACCGATTTTTCGACCGGTACGATCCTGTTTGTATGGTTTATGGATATCCGTTATCCCCAAATGGTATTATCAACGCTTTTACAGTGGAAGCAAAGGTACAACTTGGCGACCACCATTTACTTAATGGCCCCGATCATATTAATTTGTTCTGGATTTATTAGGAGGTTACCTTATGCCAAGACTTCTATTTTTAATCTAGAACCTGTCCTTAAACGATTCTCCTGGTCTATCGCCAGGCGCCTGATGCTTCTACGTTTGGCCGGCCCAAGACCCAGTACGGGTGGTCACAGCTCCAACAACTTCTAATCGTCCGCATCTGTTGAGCTTTGTAGACTGTTACTCAAGTATATATAAGTAGAATTGTATGACCCGTAACTAAGAAATAAGATTTTGCATTAAACAAAATTTGCACAACCATCGTACTAACTCACCAGAATCGAACAATCATCATGTCTACAATTATCAAAGGCCAGCAGAAAAAGAACTCACAAGCTCCCTCCAGTACCAACGGTTCCTCGACTTCATCAGCACAAAATGCGAGTGGCACATCATCTCGTACAGTTAAGACTAGCTCATCGAGTCCCGCAAAGCGTGGTGATGTGAAGGAGTCCAGTAAACCATCTCGTACAGTAACCGCTAGCTCATCGAGTCCCGCAAAGCGTGATGATGTGAATGAATCCAGCAAACCATCCCGGACAAAAGCGGCAAGTTCATCAAATTCCGCCGGAGGCGGCGACAACAATTCTGATCGCGGTAACGATCGCGGTAACGACCGCAGTCATCATGGATCAAAAGATTCGTCGTCTCAAACTTCGAAAAAAGATGGCAAGAAGCCAGAACTCAAGCGCTCATCTACTAAGGATCTCTTAGCGAAGCTCACTTTATCGCGATCCGATCAAGAACTCATAAAAAAGTATAAGCACCTCGAACTGAAACACTTGGAGCTAGAAAGAAAAAGGCCGGATCGGATGGAATGGGTGAGAGCTTCTATGCAGGTTGACCTGTGGGAGGGCACATACAAGGAAGAAAAGAGGGAATACGATCAATTCGAACTGGAAAAACCAAGAAACGTCGAAGAGATTATTCTGAAAAAGCGCAAGTTACAGTATTCAGAACGGAAACTCGATGCCGCGTGGGATACATATGACAAGGTGAAAAATGAAGATGGCCAAATTGTTAAACAACAAGAACCTATTCTTGAACAGATGCCAGATAAACACCCATATAAGATATGGTTTTTGAAACAGATAGAGATGGAGAAAGCTTCGAATGAGAAGCATAAGAAGAGAGCGGAAAAGAGAGAAAAGGAAGCAAAAGAGAAGAAAGATGCCGAGTGGCGTCGAAAGGAGAGGGCGCAACGGCTTGACGAGAAAGCCGAAAAAGAAAGATACCCAAGGGAGGTGGGAAATTCTAAGCCCCCGCAAGCCTCAGGTTCCCAATGGTGAACGAATTGAAGTTGCTCAATCCGCTCGATAGCAAGACAATATTTGGTGTTTCAATCTCCTTCCCATCTAAACAATGATCCAAAATGTAAAAATGGCTCGCGGGTGTCTAAGGGAGCAAGCAGAAAAATCTCTCTTCTACTCTTACTAAACTAGGCAAAGAGGACCAATTAGAATTTCAATGAAGAAAGTGTTCAAATAAAACGTGTTTGGAGACTGACCTTGACGGAAATTATGCTTGGTAAACCCTGAATATCTCCTAAAAGACACTTGGCGTACTCAAGGTATGAGCTTCAAGCAGCTACCTCAAGACACCTCAATTATCTCATGCCATGTAAGAAGTATATGTCAATTATTGTACCTCTCAAAGCAATTATAGTATACTATACATGATTTGTGCCAAGTCGAACTTTTGTTCCTATCAAGTTTTAGGATATTTGGATATCAGCCCCATCTTAACCCGCTAAGTTCCAAAAACATGAAACCTCCACTTCCCAATTCACATCTCTAACCTCTCGATTTCTCATTCGAGCTCTACTCCACAGCCCTTTATCCTTCGGTACCACTACTTCTAAATGCCGCACAAAGTGCTGCGTAGTGGTGTGTCAAGTCCAAGACGTTTTGTGGTAAGCTTGTTGCTTGAATGATACTCCTAACCTTCACGGCACCTTCATCTTCTATGAGTGTGCGTATCGTGTATAGCAACTCTGGAGAAAACTCCGAGTACCATCTATATTGCCAAGTGACAAGCCTGATGACACTAGCAACTGTGTCTCGAGTATTCTTGTTCTTCTCCAGTTCAGCAAGAATGCCCGCCAATGCTTTGGGAGAGAAACGTATTTGAAGACAATTACGATAAGCTTCCACAGCTTCTGGTTGGTGATGAAGCCTATCAGCCAACGAGCCGAGGATTTCCCATTCTTCGGCTGACTTTTTGTATTGCATTTGTTGTGCACGGTACTGCGCCATTTCAGTTCTCCATATGGTATAGATACGAAGGTCTTCATAGAGAACCATGAAAAGACTGTCCAGCCACCGCTCACAAAGGCGCTTGTTATTGAACCGGGAAAGCTGTTCTTCGGTAGTCTCGTTCTGTTCACGTTAGCGAGTTCACATGAGGATATGGAGCGTCACTCACATCTTCGTTACCGCTCTTGACTTCTTCTGCCGCAACTGTGTGCGAGGGCTTCTCTACAGAGTCATCCGCTCCGCTACCATCCTCAGCATTTGGTTTAAGGGCTGCCGAATCGCCGTTCGTACTCTTTTCATCGTCGGAATGGTCATCGCCATTTACACGAGGACCTGGACTTCCTCTCAGTACGTCGGTGCTTGCACTGCGCTTAGTGGGTTCACCTTGTTGACCAACTGGTGGTTGTTTCTCACTTCTATACTCCTCTTCCATGACAAATACATTACTCCTGATCTTGAGAAGTTGATCCCAGCCAATCTTAGCTGTCATTTCCGTCAATATACTATAAGCGTGTTTGAAAGTACCTTTGTACATGGCCGCACGTAGATTTTGAAGACTTGGATGAACCTGTTCCGATAACCTTGACTCCGGTTCACTATCGATCTCATCTAACCTAGTCTCGGGAAGGGTGGGGAGGTGGATCTCCTTAGGCTCCGGCATGTTAGGAGCATCCTTGTCTTGATACGTGAACATAGGGCATGAATTGAGGGTTGTAAGAGCGTTTTCCCAATCTTCCATCGCAACATAAACTTCAGCTAAGCGTGCCCATGTGCCAAACTCGCTTGGCGCAGCAATAGTACTTCTATCGGCACAGCCAAGAGCCATTTGCAACCTTTCAGTTTTGAATTCTGGCTTATTTATGTCCATTGCTTTCTTCTTCAAAAATTCTGCTTGGGTATCAAGCATAACATAATCCATTGGTGATTGCTTCACAGATTCATGTAATACCCTGACAGCTTGCACCTCCTCGTTGCCCATAAACAGGACCTTGGCTAAGAGAGAAGAAACCTCAATATTTCTGGTTCGTAGCTTCTCGAATAGGTTAATTCCAGAGGCATATCTTCCAGTAGTTTGAAAGTACTTTAGAAGACCTGTTGTTAAATGATTCGAGACGTTGTTTGGAACCTGAACGATCGAGTCGGATCCGAGTTGCCAACCTATAGCAGTCAGCATTGTTTTTTGCTTAACGAGAGATGGGATACCTCTGAAAAATAATTGTTCGGCAGCCTGAAGGAACCTATGTTCTGTCTCCGTTGTCGTCACAGGGTTAAATCTCCTAACACCCATTATCTTTCGAATCGTGTCCCCACTTCCGTCATCAGCATAAGAATATGCCCGAAGAACGCTACACAAGTATGTTTCCAGCCATAACTCATCCGTGGTCGTTCTCTTATCGCCTCGTTCATCGACGCAGTAGCTTTCGACGCTTCCTGGGATTGTGACATGAACGCGCATATCCAACCGAGAAAATGCATTGTAACAACTATTTAAAATTAGGAACGCGCATGGTTGTCAGAGTTTCTGGATCCTACCAATATACACCCTCCACTATCTTTGTCGTAGATTGATGATTTTCTTTATAGGTAAGGGTGTTGATATACGCAGCTAAACTTGCCGATGATGATGCGTCAACGCCGGTGACATGATGATACACGCCAATCTACCAGAGCAATCAATCAATTTGGAAAACTACTGAAAGATTGTGGTATAGCATACCTGCTTTACTGGGTTTCTCGGGGCTTGTTTTATCAATTGGACCAAATCTGGCGGGCCCAATTCTCGTAGAGCTGCTAGAACTTCAGATCGCGCATCGATGGATTCATGAACAAGCTCTTCGGTAAGTCTGCGATGCTATGTTAGTGAGTCCCTTGAGGTAATAGAGGACCCGCAATCCACATAAGCACTCTGCGGAAACGGCAAGATCATATACATACTCAGGAACAGCTGGCGCAACCATCTTGTCCTCTCACAGGGCAAACCTGTCTACTTTGTGGTAGAAAAATCTCACCGATGCGAAAGTAAAATAACCCGTAGTTTTGAGAAGCCTCGATTATTGGAGATGTCTTGAAAATACCAGGGAGATCTGGAGTCGTTAATGATAGTGGGGTGGTTTCTTGCATTCAATACCTATTAGTAACTTTATGCTTCGTAGATAAATCTAAACACCTCATCGGCAGGGAGCTCAAGCCACAAATTTCAGCCTCGTCAACTGGTGGGCGTCAGGCTGTGCTTGATTGTGCTTAGTCAGCTTTCTCCATTCCTGAATACTTTTCTGTGCAGTAACAGCTGGTGAGCTAAGGTTGCTGCACATCAACAAACGAATTTTGAATGCAAATTTGTGACACGGACATAAAATGAAGTTCAAAATGCAAGAAGGCTAGTTAGAAACTAATTTAGTCCGTTTTTCGGCCCTTCACGTGCCGATAGCAACTGCTTAACTCATATATCACTGATGGTACACTGAGAATGAGGATGACATTTCATACTTATAAATTTGGAGGGACGGCTCCTAGACTATGCCGCTGGCAAGTTGCATTTTATTTAGGATCAGTGGTCACTGGCAGTGGCCGGCTTGCTGTTACAAAAGTTTCGTATAACGTATTTACAGTACGAACTAGGACAAGTGTCCAGAAAGTCCAACTCAATTTGGACTATCAATTTTCATGACAGTCTTGCCTTGCCTTGCCTTTGCCATGCCTTGCCTTTGCCAGAGGAGAACCGCTGTTCAAGTTTAGAAGGACTGCACAAAACTAAAGGAAAAAAGTCGGCAGAAGCAGCGCGCAACGCCGTGGTGTCAACGTCGTGGATGAGGCGGCTAACAATTTCCGCACGCGAACTAATTTCCTGATAGTCAGAGTTTCGGACCTTCAGGCTCATACGTCAGACCAATACTGCAAAAAGGCGGGAACCTCTTGCAATCTTCCTTTACGTTTGAGGTTGGCCTCAAGGTGGCTTATACTCAAGAGCCCCAACTCACTGTTCCTCAACTTTACTGCTTTTCGGATATTTATGAACAGGGTGCAGAACGTCAAGGTTCACCATCACCTTAGGGACTCTTAGAGAAGGTATGGTAAGCTCACAATACATCTTGAGATTTGGAAGTGACCTTTATTGCACCCGGATGGCGTTTAACTACACAACGGTGCAATTTAGTGCCTTCACAAAGCGGATATGTTCAAATCAGGACATCATGCCACTTTGATACGCCACTAGCAAGCGCCTATGGCGTCCGACACAGTCTTCCAGTCATATCCTCCACCCACTTCTCACTTCCCACACATGTTGGACAATAGAAAACATCGTCGCCATCATAAGTATTTTTCACCTCTTTCAACTTGGCCAAACTCTCGCCGTAGAAATCCTGCAAATAATCTGGATCCAACCTATTCGCTTCATTCGTATAACATCCGGTATGAGGCGCCAAATTCTTCATTGCTCCAACTTTCGTGTATGTTATATCATCCTTGATTTCTTGGACGGTGGCTTCGTTGGTATCTGCGGTCCATCCACGCGCTACGATATTGTGTACATATGAAGACCTCCAAGCAGGATTTAAACCTGAACTTGGATCGGGAACAAAGACTTGGCCGCCTCCTACTAGAGAAACACATGTAGAAGTAAATTGACCTTGTGAGCCTGCAGTTATATTCAGCATCAGGTCGAGATTCGTCAGTGAAGATGTCAGTGCTGTGCGGTCCAAGAAACGCCCACCAAAAGCAGCTGTCCCAATACCTGCTGCCCTTTTGCCACCCGAGAGTGTCTTATAATATGCCGCGTATGTGGGAAATGTCAGATAAGTTGGATTGACAAAGATACTAGAGTTGTATTGGTCGAGTTTGGACATCACTGGTGCAAACATGGCTTTGGTTTCGCTAAGGGACTTTTTGGACACAGCCAGAGCATGTTCGTAGCCAGTTGTAAAATTGTCAACAACAGGTGCATAGCTTTGTACAGCCCAACTTCCATATACAGATAGACCGGCGTCATTTAGATCTGGATACGCAGAACATATCAATGCCAAGGCCGCCATGAAACCCGGAATATCTGCATCGGTTAGTGGTGCAATGGCCAGTGTTTGCGCAGAGATCGATGTCGTTGGATACGCCTTAATAGTAGTTGACACGACCACAGCAAATTTGCCACCTCCTCCACCTCGGATGGCAAAGTATATGTCTTGATTTTGACACTTGTTTGTAGTGATAATTTCTCCATTCGCAAGAACTACCTCAGCTTCGAGTATTTGATCGGCACCAAGGCCATAATCGCGGGATGCTGGGGAGTGACCTCCTCCTTGGGCCCATCCTCCAATACATCCTACAGTCTGTGGAGGTATCAGTATTTGACGATCATTTATATTTAATGGTAAATACTGGATCTCCACCTCCAACAACGATTACATTCCGTTTCGTGGCCTCTGCATAGACATCTTCCCAGACATAACCTCCAGCAATTTTAAACGCACTTCCTTCCCAATTCGAAGATTTACAACCATCGGAAGGTGAATAAGTATCTTGGAAGACGATACCTTGTTCAAGATATCTGATCCAGATCTCCAGACTGCCATATCCGGTGGATCTATGTGAAGAGGAATCAATTTCCTAGGCATCTGTTATATTGATGAACTGGACTCAGTTTACTTACCTGCCCAATAAATCATGACCAGTACTTCTAATCACCAATCTAGTATTATTCTTCCTGGCGAAATCCACTCCTCTGGCAACATCTCCAGGTGTCGTTGCATTCACAACATATCTAGGAGCATCTCCAATAGAGCAATTTCCTGGTATATCTCCTGCCGCAAAATTGATTGGTGGACATGAGTCATTAATTGGAGTATCTAGCGCAATTGGATCATTTGCAACAAGCTCCTCATCAGACAATACTTTCACAACTGCAGAACATGCTCTCAAATTTTATTGCGGTCCTGGATAGCAAACAATCACTGCAGGTGTTGTTTTGATTAATTTCCCAGATACCGATACGTTTAATGATTGCCACGAAGTTTGGGATGGCCAACGGTCATCAGTTGGAACCTACTGTATGTTAGGGATGGAGATTATAGATTGGGGAAGATGTACACATTTACAGCTTCGCAAGTATCCCGGTACCGTCTTTTCGCCAGCATTCTCCGCTAGGATTAGAGACAGTAAAGCCGAAGAAAAGAGGAGGCCTAGAAGCATTTTCAATTTGGTAATAAAAGTAATGAGTGAAGTTCAAGGTAGACTTGATGTTGTGTTGTGCAGCTCCGGCTACTGTTACCAGCTTAATTAGGAAGGCGGTAACATGAGGTAGAAACCAACATCACCTAGTCCAGAATAAAATGCGCAACCTCAAAATCTTCAACTTGTACCCAATAGTCCAGACTACAATCTAGCAAATGAAAAGCTTAATGTCTATTTATGATTTTGATCTGAAGTTTTTAGTGCTTGCAACTTTGAAGTCACTTTACCACTCACCTAAAGATCATTTTTAGCGCGAGGAGAAAGATATTCCGTTAGCTATTACTTAGTCCCTATCGACACTATTGGCCAATGACTATTGCGAGAGCGGGGACCAACTCGATCCGAAAATTATCTTGAAAGTTACCACCTACATGCTGGAATTCGGTGCCATCCTATCCATATATAAGATCGGATATACGTATGGAGGTTTGGCAAATTTCTTGCTTGCAAGAACTGAGGCTAACTCTTGAGCAAATATTGGCGGCTCAAATCTAGGGTTTATTTGCCCAAGATTAGCGTCCCTGCCTCAGGACGACTTGTTTGAAATCCTTGAAATACCAGAATTCGAAGCGTTCGCTCGTGTTGATGGCCAGCCGTTGCATCTGGGTGTGCCAAAACAACTGGTAAAGGAAGCTGACTGGGAAAACTGGACGGATGATGGGGATGAAAAAGACACTCGGCTTATTGACTTCGAAGAAGCGTTCGTTCAAGGGCAAAAGCCTGACAGCCTCGCCCAACCACTAACTCTGAGTGCTCCTGAGATAATTTTTACAGATGATTGATCTCGTAAAAGAGTTACCTGCGGAGTGGCAATCCCAATGGGAGCTTATGCCGATAAAAGCTGAACAAATAGGGAAACAGGCCAGTATTTTTTCGATCAGGCCCTTCAAAGAACGCTTGATCTATTTAAACCGACATCTCTAGTATCGTGAAACCTAAGCAATTACCATACCCACACAATGCAAAATTGGACCAGCAGTTCCACGACAATGCTCAAGATCCAGCTCTGCAGTGTCTACTTCCAGTTATTCGAGGATTAACAAGTTTCAGACCTTCAGATCAAAGCTCGGCAGCTGAGGCACTGGCTATGATCGCCCAGGCCCTGTCGGCGTTAACTTCCCATTCTGACTCTGATTCACATTCAGATTCAGAATCATCAGAATCTTGGGCTGCGCAACGGATACCACAGAGTGGATAATAGTCAGGGCGGATAAACTATTGATACAGTGCATAGCAGAAAGCTTTATAGTATAAATACTCCATTTAATAAAAGCCCTAATCAGATAGAAGAAAATAGATTTATTACAGCCACCTGAACTTTGTGGTCTAGTGCTGACATATATTGTATATCGAGATTGTGAAGAGCAGCAGAATTTAGTCATTGAAATAAATCATGCTTAAATACAGGTCCTTATCTGAAATACTTATTTCAATTTTCGTGTATTACTGAGATAATTATGGCTTCAATCGAGAAAGAGTAGATTTTATGGATCTTGATTACAGATGTCGCGGGAACTGAGGTTTGTTCTCCCCAGAATTAGCCGACATCCCGCTTCCGCGCACGGTCCCCGTCGTGTTCCTATACAAAAATGTATAAGTAGCTCATAATCCCCCACCTGTTCTTCAGAAGTTTTAGGTCTCATCAAGCTCATCATTCAATTTCTTTTTCTTGTCCATCGTGTTACCATTTTACTCCTCTTTCAGTTATTGTAGTTGTTTCTTTATCTCCTGCTTTATATGCCATTTGAACTTTGAGAAATTTTTCGTTTAAGCCTTTCCGTTTCGCTAATCTAATTTGCTGTTTCTTCATGATGTGTCCTGTTTTGCCTTTTTTTTTGCCATTTCTCTAAGCATTGCCATATCGCTACGCCGAATCCAGCTCCTTTTTCGTTTGCTTACTATCATTTTCCTATTTTTCCAAGGCTCGTATTCGTTCAGTGCATCATACATTACATTACATTGATGCCTTTTGTTATACCTCGATCATCACTGAACCGAATTCTGATGCCAGCGCTCATGAATTCTCGTACACGGCTTTTTACTGCATGATTATTGAAAGACGCTTGAACAATGATTATACCTCATCTGAATTATTCCACTTTATTCGGCATCACTCGGTGTCGGCAGCGTCATTTATTTGATCAGTCAAATTTTCCATTCGGTTACGAATATTATTAGTTCCTCAGATGTAATGTAGTTCTATCTGCAAAATCTGTAGGGATAATATTAATACTGTCATATACAACCACTTCGTAGCAATACCAATGCCGAGTATTTGTTCATGATATGTGATCCACGATGATTAGTAGCATGGAAGGCATAAATCTTGCAAGCTACTTGTGTTCCAGAGCCACCGCAGCATGGAATGGGAGTAAAAAAGTGCCGGAATTCCGACCATTTGTAGCATATTCTTTGCACCAAGTTGCCGACCTTCTGTACTACAAGTAGATGAAAAATGTAAAGGTGTATTTCTTGCACTTCAGTTGTCCGATTTGAAAGCTTCATTCCGGTAAATTCTCTCGTTGCTCAATTGGACAGATAATACCCGATGGATCGGGATTAGTTGTTCGCCACTCATACTGCCCCGCCCATAGTAGTGTCATCCAAAGCACTACCAGACTAGCAAGTTTTTAGACTGGTAGTAATCAGGATAGAAGCAGGTAATACCAGTTTTACAAACAATTCATATCTTTCCCTTTAGAAACTATAGCTATCTATACCTCTCATGTCTGGACCGCTGACAACTATCGAGAATCTGGATAGTATCTACGGCAAGTCTTTGAGTCTGTTCAATACTGACTTCGGTACTTTTGGACATACGAAATTTGAAGATTTTATATATCAGCTTTGTGAATATCGCGTCGCACGCATGAAGTATGCTTCCTTTTGTAGTTTATTATCGGGCCTGTGGCATACCGGTTCATACATATCTGTAAACGTCAGCCACGACTTACTTGTCCTCTGGTTATGACAATAACGACGGAGCTTACCAGTTGGCAAAGTGCCTGCAAAAATTGATCCATCCGCATTAACCTCTTTTAAAATTTTGTGCTGACTACAAGCATCTCAGATCTCGGATAACGACTGACTGAGTCTCTGCAATAAAAATCCACAACCCTTCCTTATTGTATGTCACAAGTACAATCCTTTACACAATGATTATCATAGTGCTTGAGTCGTATCAACGCTGATGGTAAGGATAATGCTCTAGAGGCATAAACTAGAATAGGCAATTGCAGCATCGTGATCCTCATATCTCTACAACGCATCAATGATCTTTATCTACTCGAGTAAGATCGCAAAACTCCATCCCAAATCCATGACAATTCTACCATTCATCTTGAAGGTCTGTGTAAGTTTGTCACATTTGCACCACAAAGCCAATTCAGTAGCAGTCGGACACAGCTACTCCTTCCGGAGATAAAGCCTGGCATAGCCTGTAGCAAGGTACGATATCTCATCCATTCACCTTTCTTCTTTACTAATACGCTCAACGAAACAAATCAATGTAGCTGTTATATTGATCCATCTCGATGATCCCGCTTCGATCTCATCTTGATCTCGTGAAATACGATCCCGCTCCGATCTCGTTTTCCCTAAGTTGATCCCGCTCCGATCTCAACTCCCCCTTGTGAAGATGAACGTCACTTTCTCTTCAGCCCGCCAGCAGCAAGGTCTTCCTCCTCAGCCATTTTTTTTCGCCTTCGGGCATCTTGGTTATTTTGCTTGCTTGCTATTTTTTTTTCACGCTTGCTTGCTTATTTGGTTTTTTGCTTGTTTTGCTTTGCTTTGCATCGCTTTGCTTTTCTTGCTTTCCCCCCCTCCCCCCCCCCCCCTTCTCAAGATTTTCTGCTAGCAATAGTAGATTTCTTTGGACGAATTTTTTTGTCCCTCGAGGTGAGTCACGTGACATGGACCTAGGCTACTTTAGGTGTCTAGGCATTGGACTTAGTCCTTAAATCGATTAGCTCCTAGCACTTCATGACTATCAAGTGAACAAGCTGTGGAAGAAGACTATTGATTGTGTCTTGCAGCATTATATATTTTCAGATTGAGCACCAGACGTCTTCAAAACTGTTGAGTTAGATGTAAGATAATTTCAGCCCTATTGGTGAAGTTATACACTTGCCGTTGGAGACTAATTTGACTTTTCTGGTGCGGATTACTGTTATAAGCTCTTGTTGTATGGAAGTGAATGAAGGAAGTCCATTGATGAACGATATACAATACATAGTTGTCTTTCCAACCACCGTTAAGTGATACATCCATCGATAAGCATCACCTATAATTATAGCATTCTACAGCCAGGATATATATCCAATAGTCCGGACTGCATCCAACAATGAGAAGCTTCTGGATTTCTGAATCTTTTTGGGGTATCCCAATCAATCATTAAAAGCTCAAATCTAATCTGCCTGTCTGGACTATTGACACATTGTCTGTACCACTATGTCAGACAGAGAGAATGCTTTCAGGGAAGTGTATTTCCGGGCTTTTTCTGGATCCCTCTCTTCTCATTTTTCTGTATATAGTTATGAAACAAAATAGTAATCTAAAACAACACAAACCAAACTCTCTTGAAGGAGAAAAAAGGAAGGAACTCATCAGAGGACATAGACTATGAGTGGAAATATACACAGCGACTTCTATAATGTAAGCAAAGGGGATAAATGTAAATAGGGAAATTCCAATCTCCCATCCCTCCATAGACTGCATCTGACTAGTTCTTGAAGGCCTATGTATCGAGTAAATTTTCATTGGAAGTAATGTATACTTATTTGACGCTTTTACATCTCCAAACGTATAAACTTTATCATAATATCATTATCTTTTGACCTCCATCATTATCCTATTGGTATATATATAAACTATAGATCTCATCCCATGGAGTGACTCCAGAACATCAGGCTCACATCACATTCACTATATCAAATTCAAAAATGAAACGTTAAGATCTATGGTTTAATAATCTCCAAGTGTTGACCTCCTGGGATCTTGGCAGCATATGCATATATATTGCATGATGCATATAAGGAGCAAACAAAACTCAACTTTTAATTCATTCTTTCCTTTTTGGTATACTGTTTGTTTGCTTTCAATATTTTGATTTCAAAGCACTTTAATTCCGAAGGCTGAATACCTAACCTTATTCCTTCATTTTTTGAATATATACTCGCAGCTTAACTGCTTAGCTAGAGAATCAATCAATTCAATCTGATGCTCTTTCTAGTCTGAATAAACCCAATAAGAAATGACAACGAAACAACTTAGATGAAAATCTGTCAGGAGAGAATATTTCTCTTGAAGGTTATATTCTCAAACTTACAAGGTGTTGATGAACTCCCTTCCCTCAAAAAATTCTATGTAATTACAACCTGAAGTGATGTACAATAATAGTGTATTAAAAGCATCGATTATTGAACATAGGAGTTGAAACTCTCGTTTTATAGTGATTAGACGAAGAACCATAGATCTAGACACTCCCAAAACCGCAAAAGAGTATAATTAAATAATTCACTTCTAAACTTCTATCTATTCTTATTTTCAATTACAAACCCCAGCCACTCTCCTCACTCTGCATCGTCTTGTAGATATATAAACTCCCCTAACCTCCTCTACAGAAAGACAAGCACTCTCAAGTTTCCACAAAGGAGCAAGTTAAATGCTAAAATTCTCACTCGTCAAATTTGGCAGAGAAATAAGCACCCGATACTCATATTTGTATTTATATGGTGCTATTTTCATAGAGTAATACATTTTTAATCGAGGTTTTAGATCTATTGTTAACTCAATTATCATTTTTTTCTTGTCGGTCTTGAAGGTATGGTTAATAAATGTGTATACATATATAATTATAATCAATCTTCGTACCTGAAGAAAATCAAGGTACTAACTAGACCTGCAAGAAATTCTGATGGTCTGCTAAAGCCTTGGGATTTTAAATGATGAGACTCTATTCCCCGCTGCTATTTACCTCCCTCCACATATAAAAGTACATACCTATCCAATCCATTAAAACCATATTGAAAATATCCATAATCACTCGACCGGAGATCCGATGCCTGCAAGAATTCTCACAGATAGATTACAGCCTGAATGGAATAGCTAATTAAGAACGGGAACTTTTGAAACGATCATCTCATCGCGGCATAATATGGTATATTGGTGGTGATTTGTGATGTAAAATTTGTATTACGACAGCACTTTGGTCGATAATTATCGATGATAATTGTAGATGGTTGGATTCAGTGGTGATTAGGGATAGGGATAGGTAATAGAGGCAATGAGTGATATGATAGGTAGCATACAATAGGCAATAGGGATAGGGGATAGGGATAGATGGTAAGACGGGCCGTGTTATGTATATAAAGTACTTACATACATACAGCCTCAGATAACTTCTCTATCTCATAGGTTAACCTACCGAGAAAACCTCTTCGATCATTTGATAACTGATCTCGGATATCACTCTCCCACCCGGCACATTGATAATAAATTATATGATATAAACAAAACATTCTCTGTGTCAATCTTTTGGGGTTTCACCAATAGCTACGGAGTCTTCTAGTACACCATGGAATCCCTAATACGTAGGAGGATCTCATATGGTGAACCATCACGTGTTCTCCCGTCCCTTGTGTTACCACACATCATGTATGTCATGCACTTGCATACCATCTTAGCATCTCAATCAGCATACATTAACTGCCTAATCGTTTCTTACATCCACCGTGATCCCACCTCTCAACTCTTATCCACACCCATTTCTCGCCACCTCGCCACCCCAATCTCCGGGAGTCTTGTCCAAGACTTTGCCTACCCTCATACATACCGTAGTACGTACCCCGTGATACCACAATACCATTTGTACAATATTCATTACGAATACTTTATACGTATCTGCGTGATATGGCAATGTATACACCAAGTACATCATATGAAGAATAAGCTTATGGCTTGCAGCTTATTTCTTCATCAATGCCATCCCTATGCATTGAGCCAATCTACCATTCTACCAATCTAGCAACTTGATAATCTAGTGGTCTGAGACTTTGACTTATATATGTACATGTACGGAGTATATATAATGTATGTACTTGAGTACTTATAAGAACGTAACTATGCTGTGACCCCCACAAACCACAAACCCCTAGTTTGTGGGGGTAAATTAATCGGAAATTTCTCTTGAAGATATGTTGATATCAACCCAAGTATATGGGGTAGTACAGAGAGAATACAGTAATCATCGTAAATGGAGTAATAATTAATTCATAGAACAAGGGAAAATAATTAGATATTTACATCTCAGGTGACACAATCGTATTCGGATCTTACTTTTGGGTGCCAAACTTGCACCACTCATTACACTAGCACACAGCGCAACACTGAATACTCAGCACTACATGAATCAGTATACAAAGAATATACTCCCCGTATACGGAGTACGATAAAATAACCTCCACAGACCAAAGAAGTCGTCCCAATACCGAAGATCCCCCGGTTCCAGATCACTGTTTATTACAGCGTACAGAAATCGAGGTACCTGTGGTGGAATCACCTGTACCTGTACCTGTATCTATCTGTACTCACGACGACGTGGCGCAGTTTAACCTTACGCATCCATTTGATTCATCTCACTCATTTAATTATCCCGTTCATTTATTCATAAGGCGCACTCACATGTACAACCCGATCAGCCGGCTAATCCGAAGACTCCAAATATGCCTGGTGATGAACTGCAACTGGATGGACGGATACTCCGAATCATTCTAGAAGAACGTTAACAAGATATATATAATCTGAATACCTAGTAATAGAACTTGGTTTAAGCCACTTAGCTTCTAGGATTATTACGCCGTCGTAACCTTACTCTCTAGGGATAGAAATTTGGGGAATGAAATTATGACGCTTAGAGAGATGTGAAGATGATAATTCCATCTTCTATTTCATTCAAAATAAACCATTTGCCTCCTTCCCATGAGTACATCCCGCTGACTGACTTTCTATCCCGTACCTCTAATCTAGCACATAGGAAACTTATCCGAGAGCCGAAGGGCCAACAACTCAACCCAAGTCTTACTTACAAGTCTAGAATGAAGGCACAGCTTAATTTTCAAAGACATACATTAATCTAAGACTAGCTACCTATAGCTTTCGTGCATGAGAGTGGAGAGAAAAAGCCATATCCTACTGTTCATACATATTTACGTACCGATAGTGCCGGTCATGGTGGGTATGCAGTCATGATTTGGTGTTTTGAGCTTCGCTTCTGGATTGGATTGATTTGATTTGATTTCGGCGGGTGACGCATTATTCGAGTATTTATGGAGTATGGTAAGATTGAGGTGGACTGGTGATATAATATGAAAGAGGGGCAAAAACGTGAGGTATAGAAAGAGGCACAGTCTGTGTGTGAGTGATTACCAATTTGTTTAATCTATCGATTAATCTAGAAGCCTGGGAAATTTTCTGCCTTGAACCTCAATCACATCGTGACTTGTGGTTAATCATCTTACGGGATCTGGGTGGTATCGACCTATCCAGATGGCTAAATGGTGTATTGAGGGTATTGAGGGTATAGATTTTCTCATCTTGGACAGAAGCATCCATCTATTCATTCTATTATTGGAAGAGAAGCGCGTTAATTACAATATCGCTATCTATCTACAGTAAACAAACATCGCATCCATCCATCCATCCATCACAATGAATACTCTGTAATTAAGATATAGTATCAAATATCCATCTCCCTCTTGATCTTCCCATTCAATCCATCCGATCCATCCCATCCCCCAAGTTCCAACCCACCCAAACAAAATCCCGCAAACCACCCTCAGTTCCAAACCGTCAAATCTCGCCACAATCACCTTCACCACCCACTTACTCTGCAGTGTGCACATCACTCACCCACTCGCACTCACTCATCCACCCATCAATCACCTTAAAATGTAGCCTCAAAAAAAAAATAGCCTCAAAACGGTCCAACCGTCCCCATAATTGGGCTCCAATTCCCAATTCCCCCTTGTCCCCTCTTCCAACCTTCCAAGTTCCCAAACTTGAACATTCGATATTACCCCACATGAACCGCATATATTCCCGTCCCGTGCTGTGTGCTGTGTGCTGTGTGGCCATGGGTGAATTTGATGTTTGAAGTTTGAAGTTTGGGGTTTGGGGTTTGAGATTTTGATGGCGCGTGGGTGTGGTGTGGTGTAGTGTGATTGATTCTGGGGTTAATGTTTCTAGGTGAATGGATTTGCGAAGGGTCTCAAATGAACCCTTAGATGAAATGAGGGGTATGATTAAGAAGGAGGGGAGGGGTAGGTGGGATGTTTAGGGAGTCCGGATTTTGTTGTTTAATAGGGTAGAGTGGATAGTTAGATAGGTAGGTAAAGTGAGGATATTGATATCATTTTGGTATGAGTATAGAGTTAAAAAAGGAATCGAATTGGGAAAAAAGAAGAGGAAGATATTCTATTCCATTCCGCATCCCAGAATAGTACCCTATATCTATCTTACACCACTATCATATAGGTATTCTCTCTCATCCATCCATCCTATCAATCCCCATTCAACACCCCTCCCCCCCGAGCTCCAAGATCATATCTTGAACACTATTAATATTGATGTACAGAATATACATAGCAGAATTCAAAATCAAGCATAATTACCCCGTAGAGAGTATATAACCTCACTCACTCACTCACCTACTACTCTACTTTCTCAACCCCTTCATACTCTAGACACTTTATACTCATTCATTCATTTATCATCATCTACCCATCCTCCATATATAAAATCTACAATATTGATAAATTTCTCATCTCTTCAACTAAAACTATTTGAAGATCAGACGGGCCTAGCTAAGCGAAAGATCTTTCACTCCTAGTTCCTAAGAAATCTAGAATTTCTTTTATTTCTATTTTTCTTTCTAGAAACTCTTTAGTTTGGTTTCGATAGATTACGGAGAGGGAAAAAGAAGGAAAGGAATATCAATAGAAGAACATCGAAGGAAGAATTAGAAGGAAGGAAGGATTTTAATTATTTTAATTCCTACTTATATAATAAGTGAGTTTTGATAAATGAATAGTTTATCATTAATACCTACCTACCTACCCGAGGTTTATTATCCCATCCGATACGATACAATACCCATTTATCTGTATCCGGTACCCGCTACCCGAACCCACGTTACCCGTTTCACATATACTGACTGTACAAATCCAAACAAAACGCCAAAAACCGCAAAGTTTCAGCTTCACGGAGACTCGAGTACTGTAATTTACATATATAGGTATAGAGATACATAGGTATATACATAGGAGGTAGCTAAATAAACTAGGTTACGTTACACTGTTACAGAGTACTACCAAGCACATCCACACACACAACACAGCATCCAAATTAAGTAATCAAGACCCTTTTATTTCTCATTTCCCCTCCACATATCATCAGTCATCCATCCATCCACTCATACACCATAACGCTTCCCTTCTCCACTAGTTCCAATCGAAATCGCGGTGTCTCGACCACCTATCTACCTACCTAGCTGGCCACGCATCAGCAGCAGTGAGCAGCAGCAACAAAAAACAAAAACAAAAACATGGTTACCCATCTGGCCTGTGTGACTTAAGACTGTTACTGATACCATGGTACCGTTGTATTTCCTCCACAGGTGACAGGCTAGTACAGTACAATACAGTATCTAAGCGTGCATGCCATACACACATTTTTCCCATTTCTTTTCCTTCCGTTTCTATTTCCACTGTTCCTGATACGTTACCCTGTGCCTCACTCATACCCTGTACCTGTCCGTACTGCTTCTAGTACCATACCATGGTGGAGACATCATTGTGCAGGTTAATCCCTTCCCCCCTCCCTTTTCCTCCCGTTTTATATCGAAATTTCGAGTGAGAGGTCTTTCTTTTGGAGTGAGTAGTAAGCGAACCAATCTCATTTATTTAATTTTTGAACAGTGATGAAGTGGTGGTGGCGCTAATTGAAACCCATTTTGTTAGTGGATAGTACCTACCACCTAGTGATTGCTGTTTATAGAATCAGTAGTACTAGTAGAAGTAGAGTATGAGCCTTGGTACTCGAATTCGAATTCGGATCTCTTCGGTAATAATATTTTTCACATCCATAATGACCTCGATGAATGATTGAATGATGGTGAGGTGAATATTTTGATACTCTAGAGTCTATAGAAGTTACCCATGAAGAAATAAATTGATGAAAACTATGAAATAAAAAATCGGATCATCGTTCCTCCTCTCGAGTCTCGAGATGAGTAAGTAAGTAATTTTTGAATCTAATCTATAGTGGCAAATATCCTACCTACCACTCATTCCCGAGGTCATAATAGAAACGATTAATCAATCAATCAGTAAATCAGTATTCCCAACCCCAAGAAAATTCTTCTAATCCGTTACTTTCCGCATGTAACATCGTGACTTCTTTCTAGGTATCATTTCCCCATTCCCCAATTCCCCAATTCGAAAAACTCCAATTCGAGTTCGAGTTCAAGATCGAGACTTTTTCTAATTCCAAAATTTCCAAGGATTAATTAAATAGCATTAACCTCGGAAGATGAAATTACCATTACCTGGCAGGCTGGCTGGCGCAAAAGAATTCGAATATGGATGGACATGGAAAGGAACTTGGAATGGAGTAAACTGTAAATAGCGGTTGAGCTGGGGATATGATATGTTGTACTGTTGAACTTGACTGGCTGTAACATTTTGTAACGGGAATTTATTATTTATCTTTGGATGTGTGTGTGGATACCTACCCAAGATTTCAAGACATCTCTTCTACATTATCTACAGTGAAGTAAATGAAGTGAATCAATCAGTGATACTGATACCGTGATACCCAGTAATACTATACCTGGTACTGGTACTTGAGTAGCTAGTACACTCATCCGGAACTCTTTCGGTTTTAAAAAAAAAAAAAAAAAACGTGTACAATGCAGTGATCTTTTTTATATAATTGGATCCCATCCCATTCCATCCTCGTAATTCGGGATTCGAGAACCTATACCCTATCTACCGGGTACTATCATCATTGTCTGAATCAGATTCATACAGAAGATGTACATGTACAGAATAAAAAGAATCATACATATCATGGAAGAAAATATTTCCGTAACTTTGTACAGCTTGTACCGTGTGTGTACTGCACTACGTACGTAGCGCCAACAACAACAACAGAAAACAGAAGAAGAAAAGGTTCCAGAGTTGGCACATCCAATGCAAAAGTAGCCGGATTCGTAGCAAGTTTTGTGGGTGGTGGGTCGAAAGAGTTAAAACATTCGGCTTATTTGGGGTTTCTGAAGAGTCAAGGAAGGTCTGGGCTAGCTATAGACCTTGATCATTGATCGTTGATGAGATTTGAGATTTGTGAGAGGGGGGTAAAAAAAATAAAATAATAATAAATAAATAAATAAATAAAAAGATTTATCAACGTTAACCGCTAATTTGATCATTTTGGGGCTTGGTAGGGTAGGCCCGGTAGGGTAGATACTAGATGTAGGCTTAGATAGACAGACAGACAGAGCTGGGTAAAAATGGAGATAAACTCCGTGAACATGGAAAAATTGCAACAAAAGCATGACCTACGTGCAGATATGCAATAATGCCAAGATGGTTTAAGGAGCTTGAGATGCTGGAAATGATTCCACTGTTTTGCAGTAGTTGAAATTCGCTTGGGAGATTGGTTTCCGAGCGGCGAGTGCTACTGTATCTATTATCTACTAAAGTATCTACCAATAATGCTTGTTATGTTATGTTATGTTATGTTATGCTATAACAGCTCTGTTCTGTTTCGTACGTACGTACTGTGCCATCTATCCATCTATCCATGTCATCACCATGCGTGCAGCGTGAATAATGTAAAGATTCAAATCTGCTGCAGCATCTCAAAAGCTTAAGCATTAATGATCAATCATCAGTCAGTCGAGAAAATAATATAACCCAACCGGGTTCTATCAGTATCATCACAGATATCATCATGTCATATCATGACATAGCATAGCATACTGAATAAATGACATCCATCGCATTGGAGCTACTAGGTATGTATGTAGTATGTACCTACCTCACTAGACCTCGATGTCCCAGGCGTTTCGGGAACCATAAAAACCATATATACTTAACTATTTTGGGATCATCATCTGGCCTTTGCCCGACCGATTATTCAACAGTTTTTGCCCTTAATAATAATTTCTACGATTTGAATTTTTCCCGTTGTAGATGGGTGGGTGAGCTACTAGGTAGGTAGAGTCTAGGATGCTGTCTGTAGACATGGATCTGGAGAGGCTTGGATACCTACTTATGGATCGTCGGTAGTTTTTTTTTTTTCCTCGTGGTTTTTCAAAAGCAGGTGCGTGCAACTTGCAAGCAAGCAAGCAATAATAGCCTATGGAGTTAAAAGGCTAGAAGTTACTGGTGATTGATTGATTGATTGATTGAATGTTCATGGATTTGTGATTAAATACTCGAGGAGAATGAATGGTAAACAGGGGTAAAGAGGAAAGTTTAGTTGTACGGAATATAAAGCTGTAATAGTGGATATTTGATTGTCGCTCAATGGTTCCAGAAAGTTGAGAATTGGAAATCAATGGAAATATTTTTTTATAATTTATTTCATAAGAATGTTCAATGAATGTGATCATTGATGATGGTTCATCAAATGATCTTCATTCATTTATTCTAAGTTTAGAGAAGAGTAGTGTGGGAAATTACCGAGTTAAAAACTTATCGTTGTCATTTGGGATTGTGGTTATTAGATTATGGTTCTTAGATTGTGTTTATTGATAGATGTATTAGATGGATCCCTAAAGTCAGTACTCCATATTCAGTACTCCATATGTGCGCGTGATGATACAGAGTAAATGATTGATGGATGATAAAATAGGAGGTGAGTCAGTGATGTGTTCCATTTCTCAGGCTATTGCTGTTGTACATACATCGTACAGAATGAACTATTCTCAGAAAATTGAGATGGCGTTGAAGAGTTGAAGAGATTTGTCAAATCTCATTGGAAACATGTACCGGTCAAGACTGAACAGGTTGGATTGTATAAAATGGAGAATCCCATCGACGAATGAAATGAGTGACTCGATGCAAGCGATGGATTGATGTGAGACTTTCCAAAATCACAGCGGATCATCTTTACCAGCCTTTTCCCTTCCTTTTCCATTTGACTGGTTATTAATGACCGGCATCTTTTCTTTTGATCTCCATTCACTCCGTACTGTATGTACAGAGACTTAGAGGACTGCCTATTTTTCCCAACCCGAAACTTCCCCCCCCCCCTCAAAAATAAGGGTCATCCATCTTTGAAGGGTTTAGATTTTGGTCCAATGAGATGAAGTTATTTATAGGCCTGCAGCTGGTCCATCCTTTCCATGGCCACGTTGGCAAAGTAAAGTTCTTCTGGGAGTAAATAAAGTGGCCGGCGTACGGTTCCCACGGTTCCCAGTACAGTATTCCGTACACTTGAGGGAAAATGGTTAAAGTTCATTGGTAGAATCAAGGTTAAATTTGTGATGAGATTATTTTCCATGTGAGATTGGTTGCTGAGGAGAGAAACGGTCTCACAAGCACAGGCTGGGATGACTCTGATCTTCCTTCGTGTTGGTACATGGTCTGCTTGCTTGCTTGCGTAGTGATGATGGCTCAACTCGATAGATGATTGTTGTTATTACGAGTTGGGTGTAGCCTTTAACATCATCCCGTTCCTATTTCAGTCGGTCAAGATGTCATGATTGACGTATTAGTAAGGTTAAAGATCATAATAGAGTGATGAGCCACGGAAGGGAGGCAAGAAATACTAGGTAGGGTTGATAAGTAAAAAACTTGAATTTGACAGGAGGAACAATAACCATCCCAATGCTTAGGTAGATGTCATCTAACCTTTTTTCTCCTTCGCCTTCGGGTTTACATCAACCAATGAAAATGAATGGATATTGAAGGTTAGAGATGGATGTTGAATTACTAACTAGGAGGTAGGTGATGCATTATTTGATGCAGCCAAAAAAAATCAAGAAACACATTTAATCCGACCCATAAATATCTTCAAACGACTAATCAAAATTCTTCATTATCCCATGGTTTGGTTTATCGATCCTGCATCTTGAAGCTCCAAAGGAGAGAATCTCACTCATCAATCGTCACGCCAAACAAGCAATGATGAGTTCGATCATAGTTTACCTACTAGATAAAAAAGAGTGATGATATAAATTAACAAATATCGGTGTCCAAAGTATCAAGGCTCATGATGAGAGTCTCCAGAGTATATCCCCGAGGGTGAGTGAATTTGATGAATTGGGTAGATGATAGATTAGATTCATAGATTGATTGGTTTTCACTCGGGGTTTCCATAATTTCCTCCAGTCACTGCCACTCTGTTGTTGGTAGTTACGTGGTTGATTTGATTTGACCTTCCCCTTAGATGTCATATTCAATCAATCATCAATCAATTCAAATTCGATATATTTTTTGTCAATAGAAATTAAATCATGACAATCAAAATGCCATCAATCTGATGCCGGTTTAAATATTATTAGAGTAGTAATTTCTTTCAAATCCAACGATTATCGACCAAAACCTTTGACCGGGTGGGAAAAAGTAGGTTCATCAGTGGTTCGTAGATATTAACCATTCATTGATGTTATCCGCCCATGATGAAAAAATTGATACGCTAAGGGGTAAGTTTTCTTTTACACTAACAAGAGAGAAAGCAAGCAACACAAGCACCACTCTCACTGCACTGCCAATTCAAGCTTTGGTATCATTCTGCACCCTCACACATCCATCCGCCCACTCAAGCCATTCATTGAACCTTGCTGACCCGTTTAATTCCATAATATTTATAATTATTAAAAGTATCTGTCGGGTTTTTATTCACATTCATATTTACACCAATTACTCCAATCCCCCCATTAATTTTCCTCCACCCAGATCATTCATAATATCCAATAATCCATCCAATTCAAATTATTCAATCCCTCCAATCCATCCATCCGATCCAATTTTCTCTTCTCACTCTTGACTGTAGCTGGGAAAGCCCTTCCATCGGGGAAACATCCACCCACTTCTTTATATCTGCGCTAATAAATAAAATATCCCAAGAAATCGAACTACGAAGACAAGACTCTTTTTGTTTAGACTACGAAAGGAAAGGAAAAGGAACCACTTTCCCAGTCATCCTCTTTTTTTCTCTTCCCTTTTTCCTTTTCTCTTTGA